TGGGGCGAGGCACTCAGTTTGTTTACAAGTCTAGGTCGCACTTGAATTCTTTATGAAGAATTTCATTGTTTGCCTGCTTTTTTGCTTTTTTAACATAAAAGTTCTTATTACCTGTATATAAAATGCCAAGAGTCCCAAGAAAGTCAGTGGTAAAGTTCAACCTAAAAAAATAGTTGTGAGGATGACAATAGAGGAAAAACAAAATATCATTCATAGTGAGACAATGGGATGTTTCACTACAGACAAGTGTTAAAACGTAGGGAAAACAAGTGCCTATACACAGATTCTTAGTAAGACAAGCAAGCAGTGAGCCACAACCAGGTCCTAGTGGTATGCCTGCAAAACATAAAAGAGTACCCCAGAAATGTCATCAATGCTGTTATAATTATTGTTATTATGATGTTTTACACTAACATCTCTCCTCCTCCCCTCCTCCTCACCATCTTCCACACGCCAACAAGTCCTCAATAAAGGTAAGATATACCATTCCATTTGAACTATACCTATAGTTCAAATGGAGTGTTATTCAGTATAAAATGTATTTTTAAACTAATATTTTTGGGAGTGTGGAACAGATAAATTCAATTTACATTATCTCTTATGGGAAAATTCATTTTGGCACGACGAATTTTTGGTTGATGCGTCTCTAGGAACAGATTACGATTGTAAACAAAGGTACCACTATATAATGGATTCTGGTAATAAAAGTTCTCATCACATTCTCTGGATCAGTAACATCTCCAGTATTAAATGGAGCTGTTAGTGAGCAACAATATTCCACCCTTGATGGCCCAGGTGTCTTAAAAAGTACAAGCTTGACATCTCTTGTTTGAAACATTCTATTTATTTTGACTGTCATTTTTCTTACTGTTGTGACATCTACTTCACTGTGTTCTTTAAAAGTAAGGTATAATATTTCAACAGTACTCCTGCATCATTTAAATTGTCATTTTCCTATAGTGAGATTTTACTTATATGCCTTTTTTTTTATTTCTTCCCTTACCAAAATGAATGAGCTGGATCTTGCCTTTTATTGAATATGTTTTCATAGCCCATTGAAAAACTTTGCTTACATCCATGTTGAGGTTTGCTGTGTCCTCTAGTCTCTACTCTCATAAAAATCAGTGTTGCAAGGGAATATGTGGTACGCAGGAGCATCATCTATGATATCAGAAAACGAGACGATTATATATACTGTACTACAGTACATGACTAATAGTGAGCAAGGAGGCAAGCACTAGTAGAAATTGACTGAAAACCTTGAGGTAACCACATCATGCAGTTAGATAAGGCTATTTATAGATGGTTTGCACTGTACTGCACATTAAATATGGCAACTTGCAAAGAAGAAATAAGGAATACAGCAGGCAGGTTAGCAATCAGCTTGGTAATAAATTATTGGTATTTCAAAGCAAGGGATGGTTGGAATGCCAAATTTTATCACAAGCACGATGCAGTCAAGATAAAACTGTCATGGGAATCCGAGTGTAAATGAGAGCAGCGTGGAAGCATTTAAGAGCAAATTATAGACATTCTCCTATAAATTATACTATTATAAAATTTATAATGGTGATGAATTACATATATTTGGAGGAGTTCATCTGATAAAACTTTAGCTCTGAGGAATAAAAACAGATTGTCAGCAGGAATGCAGATGGCACACACAACCACATGCAATCGTTAGTTAATCAATGCCAAGATCTTTAAAAAAGTATTTGAACGGTCTGCCTGTAAAATAATATAATTCAAAGAATGCATGATTTACATAGCTTTTTCCTTTCTTGGTTTCATGATTTGTTTTTCAAGGAAGTCTGCCAACATCAAAACAAAGAATACAGATGTTGACCAGACCACACACTAGAAGGTGAAGGGACGACAACGTTTCGGTCTGTCCTGGACCATTCTCAAGTCAAGAATACAGATGAATTTAAGTGAAGTTTGGGCTTGGCCACTGCTTGACAATGCCCCTGCTCACTCCAATATTAACACCGTAATCTCAAATGATAAAGTAACATTTGGCACTACCACCTCTCATTCAGTTCACAGTGTAAGGACTTGCCTCTTTTGTGAAAAGATTGTACAGTACAACAAAGTTATGCTTATTGTTGTTTTGGTGGTTTTACCTCTTGAGAAAGATGGACAAAACCCAGATAACATGACAAAAAAATAAACTTGAAAAATTTAAAAAGTGCAGTAATGTACTGTATTTGATTAAAAAAAAAGTTAAATTTAATTGGGCAAAAGTGTGCAGTGCTGATAAGAGGTCCACTTTGAAGAATTTGCGGAAAAAATTCCAAAGAGTTCCAGTTAGTGAGGAAAATGACAAGTTCAAAAGTATTTGCCGATGAGGATTTTGAAAAACATGATATTGTTGACTGGTTAGAAAAAGATGTTAAAGACCCAGGATATGCTGTACCAAGTGAAAATGAGATTCTCCAATCCTTTTCTGGTGAGGTGGAGGAAAGCGAGGATGGGGATAAAGAAACATTTTATATAAAATTCAGAAACCTCCAAAGGCCACCAGAGTTAGCCTGGTGGCATACCTCTGAACTTTCTAACTGGATTGGTCTGACATATGGAATATATAAGGCTCTGAATGATTCCTTACACAAGTTTCTAAAGGCAGTTATTATATTGGCGAACCTAGCACATGCCACCAATGATATCCCCTTTTGATGTGGGCTTCAGGGGACAGGTTCGGTGTAATATTCCCCAGATCTTTCTCTCTACCCGATTCTTGAAGAAATTATTATACCCCTTAGTGTTTGGCATACATAGTGCTTTAAAGCAGCGGTTGCCTACCTTTTGGACCTCACTGACCACTAAATTCATCATTTTAAATCCCACGGACCACTAAGGTTTCCTAGCTAAATCAGAGTGTTTTGAATGCAAGTGTCTTTCGAGTTTCGAATGTTTCATAGCATCATTGGATACTCTCAAAACAAACAACACGAAGTGGCCGTGGATGCAGCTCACTACTGGGTTATTGAATGAATTCAAATACAGTGGAACTTCGGTTGCCGACTGCCCTAAAGTACAAATTTTTTGGTATACGATGTCAAATTCATTATAAAATTTGAATTGCTGTACGATGGTTTACTTGGAAGACGACGTCTGTTGGTACACGTATGAGTTGAACAAGCACGTGGTGCTGAGGGCGTGGGGCGAGGCACTCTCAGTTTGTTAACAAGTCTATCTTGAGATATCTTGTGTCATGTGAATCCCCTGCATAGCAGTGGAACTGCCTTTCCCCTCACCTTCAATGCCTCTGCACTGGAAGTCCTCCTCTACACCAGCCCAGATGAGTTATCAGTCCTGCCACCTCTCCACCTCTCCATATCCCTAGGGCCTGGCACAATCTGGTATGACTTGGTGGTAAGCCAAACGCCTCCACCAACCTGTACAGTAGTTTGCCTTCACAAACGAGCAGTTAGCCGCCTTCAACTAGCAGTGGTGCTGCTCAACACAAAGGCACTTCCAGCCACAAACTAGCAGTTTGCTAGTTGACCAGATGTCCACCTTGTGTTGACACTGAATGTGAGTCATCACCGCCGGACTATATAAAGGGCACTGCCTCCCTGGAGAGCCAGTCTCTCTTTCAGTGCTCTTGGATCACCTTGGTCTCTCTCATCCGTTGTCTGCCCTCAGCCTATGCCATGTCTGATGCCATGGTGGTATGGTAGCTATCTTCAACCAACCAGTACAGTATATCTTCATTCATTGTATTCATTGAATTTTTTACAGTTTATTTTTTTTATTAATTTCATATGATCTTGTCCACCTTTGCATTATATGATTGCTAAGTGTTCTCAGGTGCCATTTTTGTTCATTAATATTTCAGTATATTGTTAAAATAATTTATTTGATGATTTTCATTTGTTTCCACCTGCAACTTACACACTGCAAGGCCAATAGCAGCATTTTTTGTTTATTTGTGTGATGGAGAGCCATACCATCTTGGTTCAGTATAGCTGCGATACCACAACCCATCACACTTGAGATGATTTCGGGGCTTAGCATCCCCGTGGCCCAGTCCTCAACCAGGACTCATTTTTGTTACACATCTCCAGGAAGCAGCCCAAAGCAGCTGTCTAACTCCCAGGTACCTATTTACTGCTAGGTGAATAGGTGCATCAGGGCGAAAGAAACTGCCCATTTGTTTCCGCCTCCGCCGGGAATCGAACCCGGAACCTTAGTACTACACATCCCAAGCGCTGTCCACTCAGTCGTCAGGCCCCGTAAATGGGCCCCCGTCGTGACGACCTCAGCTGTGCTTGAATTCTTTGAAGAATTTTATTGTTTGCCTGCTTTTTTGTTTTTTTAACATAAAAGTTATTATATATCACACCATGGGTCCCAAGAAAGTCAGTGGTAAAGTTCAACCTAAGAAAATAGTTGAGAGTAGACAGTAGAGGATGTCCCTTCCTCATTAAGAAAATGTGTGCAGTATGGGAAGAATTGCAAAGTTTTGCTGAAAAGACTCACCCATATAAAGCTGTAGCAGGCCATTGTGTTAACTTTTTTAATGACTGTGATGTCTCACTACAGACAAGTGTTTAAAATGAAGGGGAAAAATGAAGTGTCTATAGACAGATTCTTGGTAAGACAAGCAAACAGTGAGCCACAACCAGGTCCTAGTGGTATGCCTGCAAAACGTAGGAGAGAGAGTACCCCAGAAATGGCATCATTGCTTGATGTTATAATAAAGAAAGGGGACTCCCCTTCCAAACACTAACATCTCTCCTCTTCCCCCCCACCCTCCTCCAAGAGAAACCCTTGAAAAATCACTGGCTTCCTGTCCTTGTCGAAGCCACTAATGAAATGGTGAACCTCGGGTAAATCCAGGAAGCATAAACTTTTTAATAAAAAAAGGCATCAAGAGATTTGCCATGAATGTGTTTACAAATTACAACAAGTATTTAAACAGCAACCATTGATCAAACCTCGAGTCACTTAAATGTTGGCTGAAGTACATAATAATACTTAATCAAATCATTTACCTTTGAATTGATGAATTCACATGCCCGATCCTTCAAAGTTTTAAGTGTGAGTTGGGATGCATTGACAGTTGTTGTATCCCGGATTAGACCATGTTGCAAAGAGAAACTTATGTCTGCTCCAGTGACCTCCATCTGAAAAAAATATCAATAGAATGATATTAGATTGTATATTGATTGGCTGGTAAATAATTATTACACCAGCATAACTGTCATTGGAGCTGAATTAATACAACCGAATAATATTGTACAAATACATAGTGTACAGTACAGTATATGTGCATGAATATGAGATATATGCTGTATTCACCTAGTTGTGCTTGCGGGGGTTGAGCTCTGCTCTTTTGGCCTGCCTCTTAACTGTCAATCAATCAACTGTTACTAACTACTAATTCCCCCCCCCCACACACACTCTACTACTACTAGGTAACAGGGGCATCAGGGTGATCAGGGTGAAAGACACTGCCCATAGTTTTCCACCAGTGCTGGGAATTGAACCCCGGTTCACAGGACTACGTATCAAGCATGCTGTCCACTCAGCCACCAGCGTCCCTTGTATGTATGTGTATTATTTTTATATATATATATATATATATATATATATATATATATATATATATATATATATATATATATATATATATATATATATATATATATATATATATATATATATATATATATACATATATATACATATATATATATATAATAAATTAGTGCCAGTCTTAAGATAGCAAGATGCATCACCCATTTGTAAGCAAATTTTGCCAGTACTGTACTATAATGTATATTCATGTACATTATGGTCTATATTTTAAAACCCTACATTTCCTTACCATCAGGTAGCACTTCTATAAACAAACCGAATTCCTATATGTTGTGTTTCATGTGTGCCAGACTAGTATTTGGATGTCAGTGATGTGATGTTACCAAACATGGTAGCAGGGTGTTAGTACTCTTTAGTGGAATTACATATTGTTTGATGAGATTTCCGACTTTCTAACTCTGCTCTGGTACCAGCATCCCTAAGCCTTAGCAAAACACCCGGCCTCCGAGATCCATTATCACTTGCCAAAAGCCACAAACAGAATCTGACTTTCAGATTCGAGATCAACCCAAAGCCAAGACAAAAAAAGCATAGGAACAACAAAACAAGCGACTGCATGAAAAACTAGGTACAGTACAAAGTAAACATTTCTCGGGTAACTAATCAATCTGTTTTGTGCCCTACCATCACCAAGTGGTAGCTTAGGTCACATGGAGTTTAACCAGTCTACCACTTCACTCTTCTGTCAGTGCCATCCCCAGGACAGTGTAAACAGCAAAGAAAATACATGTTTAAAAAGTATATTCAGTGCTGGAAAATATATAGAAGCAACAGTGTTAAATATCGAAAAACAGCCTGGAACTTTATAAGACATATGATACATAGTGCATTGTTCAACAACATTCAGGGACCAAGACTCAACACACTCCCTCAATACATAAGGGGTATAACTAGCCAACCTCTCAAGGTAATCAAAATAGAAATTGATAAACACCTCCAAATTATACCTGACCAACTGAGCTGTAATTCATACATCGGACTACAAGAAGTAGGGTCTATCACATCCAGGTTGACTTGACCACCAACCAGGAGGCCTGATCAGAGACCAGGCTGCAGAGATATTGATTCCCAAAACCATCACAATCCTTGGTAGTCACAAGGTATGCATCCGGAGACCCACAAACTGGACACCAACATTCAGTGTCTAATTTCTTGGGAAGTTTTGGTCGTTAAAGTTTTATATTATTAAGCACTCTGTTTTGGTGTCTTATCAGAAATTTTTTTATGAGAAAAATACAAGTAATTTCCTAGTTTGCATTACCCATTAACAAACACGGTCAGTTTTATGTGCATGTTAATGGGTAATGGTTTGTCTAAGTTCAATACAATAAGGTACTCTATAGAAAACAAGACCCACTGAGCAATAGGGTGACCTACTGCTAAATAACAAATGCAAACTTGCCCTAAGCCTAGTTTGGAATAGGATCATACATAGCTATTGTTAATTTTGACTAATGTGGCTTTCAAGATAGGTATAGTGTAAAGATTTTCTTTTAATTAAACTACTTGCTAGCCTACTAGACATTTTCCAGTGGTCAGCACAATCTGTTCACAACAAAAAGATAAAGTTCAATTTCCACAGCAACACAAACATCTGGGTACATTTCCTTTCACCTGATGCCTCTTGCTCACCCAGCTGTAAATCTGTACCAAAGAGTTAGGAAACCATTGTGGGTTGCATCCTGGGAAAGGTCAGTAGTTGGACTAGCCTCAATAAGGCTAGGATGTTTTCTATCTCTGATTAATGGAAACCTATTTCAAGATAACATGACAAGTCATTCCCAAGATACTGAACAGAAAACTGTTACTGTACAAGAAAGAATAAAAACCACAGGTCTAAGGTATCCCTACTAAAAAAAAAAAATTCATAATGATACATTCTGGTTTTATTTATAAAATCTATTAGGTCTACACATATGTCATGGGCAAAAAAAAAAAAAAACGTGTAAACATCCAACTTATGCAGTGATAGTATATAGAATTGGCATCATTGCTGTACCAGTAGGCAAAGAGTCTTTTGATTATTGGTAAAGCACCAAACCAATATGCAAAATAATACTTCTGACTACTGGTTGTAATGGACAAAATAGGAGATGTTTATTAATACATACAAAGGAGGAATTTTTTTATCCTAATATGCTTTAGCTTTAAAGAGTTTTATTATTGTAGCCTATTCCATGTTTAAAGCTCCCCAAAAAAATCTGGATTTAAGATTAACATGCAAAGCTATGAATTTTGCAAGCCAGTTAGCTGTTTAAAAATCTTTGACAATTGTACAATTTAGTAAATATTCTTTTTTAAAGGAATATACTGTATGTCAAGACATGTATATAAATGCCTATAGCATAAATCCACAAAACTGCAAATTTAGAACTGCAATCTGTAATTTTAAAGTATTAAAAACCTCAAGATTATTAAAGTATATCAAGAACTCTGATTGCAAATGCTGCCGAAAGTTTAAAAAAAATCAACTTCACAGTAGCCTCTACAATAATACAAAAACCTAACCACCAAAAAAATGACTGATCTACACGAGTTAAGCAAATGCTACCAGGAAATTTCAGCAAAATTTTACTAAAAAATTACAGAAAAATAATTTAAGAGCAGGGCTGTAACTATTTTCCCATCATACCCAAGATGAATGTAACAAGAGAGCTGCAGGTAATGTTGTCATACCCTGCAAGGGAGGCCTTCCTTTGCCCATTTCTAGCTTCAGTTAAATGCAAAATAAACAAAAATGTTGATCAACATTTTAAGTTGCCTTAATGCTAGGTAAGGTAAGGTACGGTAAGGTTTACCTGGTATGAATGCAATAATGTATAAACTTCAACTTTGGTAGTAAGCCAATAATCATTTTTTTTTATATATACTGTATAGAGTTCTTACATTCTTGTAAAGCCAACTAGCTTTACTGCTGAACAAGAAGTGGAGAATGTTAAGCAAAAAGTTACCAACCTACTAACTATAGTACCTTCCACTTTATCAAATATAGATTAAAAGAACCCATTGCTTGCTTTGTTTGAATTATAATTTTTGTATTTACAAACTAATTTTTAACTTGGTTTACTTCTGTCAGATCACTCTAAAAGCATTTTGATAAAGTGGTGCCATGTTTGGTTGCATTCTCACCAACAACAACTCACACAACCTTAACATACCTGAAAAGAAATTTACCTTTTTTTAACAGGCAAGCAAATAAAACTAAGAAACTTGTGTGCAAAAGTTTCAACTTACAGGTATACCCAAAAAAAATTTACAGCAGTGCTTCTAAACTGAAACTTGATAATGAGAAACTATTCAGACTCGCATAGTACCAGAGTCACCATAATAAACCAAGAAGATAGTCCTTAAGCCATAAGCAAAGAGAGAGGAGAGGAAAGAAAGAGAGAAAGGAGAAAATGAAGAGAATGGAGAGGAGAGAAAGGAGAGAGGAGAGAAAGGAGAAAATGGAGAGAAAGGAGAGGAGAGAGAGGAGAGAAAGGAAAAGGGAGAGAGAGAGAGAGCTGCTCCCCCACAAGACCAGACCTCACCCAACAGGTGCCCCGGCCAGCCACTCCCCGACCTGCACAAGCTCAACAATACCACCCTCCCCGAGGGTCCGCCACTGTGGCAGAGTGTAGCTCCCCCTCATACAAGCAGGTGCGAGAGGGGGGGCGTGGAGGGGGGGCAGGAGGCGGCGGGGGGCGAGGTAGGCGCTCCAAGGAACACCTGTGGCTGGCTCTTAAGGCTACGGTGCACCACCTCCTTTTATACCATCACCAGTGCCCAACTAGAACAGCTTGCACCTACCAATTGAACTCAGGTGGGTATGGAAGAGTGGGGGGCACGGGTGCGCATTCGCCACGCAATTAGACCAGGGGCTTCTCTGTAATTTAAGGTAATATGAGACCCAGCGTGGTAACCTTTTAACGCAGAGTTCGAAATCTGTGTCACAGACAATTTCCCAAGAGAAACTGGTACGTCTAACCACAAAAACATATGATTTTGTAAACTATAGCGCCCGGATCTATGGATAAAACAATTACCTTGGACACGGAGGGTTGCTATGGACTTCTTATCTCTTAAAAAAAACTTGTATTCCGAATCACATATTAATTTAATAAAAGCATCTCACTCCGGACATCGCAAGTAGTGCGCACGAGACAACACCTACACTGACACTGACACAATCAGGTCCCGCACCTGCGTACAAAGTATCCAAATACCTGCCACAGAAAGAAAAGAGCATCACATCTAAGTGAAATTTTAAAGACAAATGTATTTTGATTTGTTTTGTCTATTTCTCGCCACCATTATCACAAACTATTTTATCTCTTATGCTTATTTCCCACCCTGCTCAAAATATAGAATGGTTGTAATATTTAATTAAGTCTATATGAACCTCCTGAATACAAGCAATTTAGATTTAAAACAACCTTAAATAAACTAAAAATATATAAATTGGACACTTTAATAAACATATGGTATTAATTTTTCATAAAGTGTTCCGATATAAATATGCAATATAAATAAAGATGATTTGATAAATAAATAAATAAAATAAAATATATATATATATATATATATATATTATATACATATATATATATATATATATATATATATATATATATATATATATATATATATATATATATATGTTAATTAATGTAAAAAAATAAATATCGTGGGAACTGGCTGTAAATATTGTATATGAGAAATGTGTATAGCCTGTAATTCAGTTGATGTGACGACTTATACTGAATTTTGTAACTAGATCATCAAGATTGTAACTTGCTTAGCTAAATGAATTGTGGAGTTCAGTCCCTGAGCCCATTATGTGCCTCTGTAACCCTTTCCACTACTGCCCACAAGATGGGTATGGGGTGCACAATAAATGAACTAAACTAATCCTATATGTCAGCAAATGACAGCTCAAATGAATCTAGCAAATGTCATCCATCTATGCAGTTGCTTGTCAAACCCAATACGTACGGTGCAATGATGTATGATGTTGATCATATTAATGCTGAAAAACCACAATGAATATAAATTATATCAAGCAGACTAGTAGTTGCATCGTTTAGTTCATTTATTATGCACCCCATACCCATCTTGTGGGCAGTAGTGGAAAGGGTTACAGAGGCACATAATGGGCTCAGGGACTGAACCCCACAATTCATTTAGCTAAGCAAGTTACAATCTTGATAAGTACAATAAGGGACTCGAATTCAGACCGCCAGGAGCACAATGCAACTGGTGTACATGGTACCTTAATCACTCGACCATCAGTGACCGTACAAAAGACGATATGATAGCCGAGGCTATTTGACCACCGCCCCGATGGCACTTTGATGGTAATCTTAAATATAATTATTTCATCAAATCACCTCACTTTGTGGGGCCCCGTGAGCAACACAAATGCAACAAGCTTGAATGGTCTCCAAGCATCTATGCAACTGAGAACTCTACACCCCAGAAGTGACTCGTTCATATATATATATATATATATATATATATATATATATATATATATTAAAACGCACTTCTCGGCCTAATATGCAAGGTCCAATTTACCTAATAGGCCGAGTGATTTTCTTTATTTTCAAATAATGTTTCCAATTGGTTTATTTGAATTATTATTGTTATATTATATTAGGAACATAAGTTATTGCCTTAGTTATGTTAGTTTAGGTTAGGTTAGGTAGGGTATTTTTGGTTAGGACATACAGTATATCTACGTTAGTTTTAACTCAAATTAAAACACAATTGACTCATACATAATGAAATGGATAGCATTATCATTTCATAAGAAAAAATTAGAAAAATATATGAATTCAGGAAAACTTGGCTTATTAGACAAATCAGGCCTTGCATAGTAGGCCGAATACTGCATTCTGGCTACTAGGTACAACACACATATATATATATATATATATATATATATATATATATATATATATATATATATATATATATATATATATATATATATATATATATATATATATATATATATATATATATATATATATATATATATATATATATATATATATGTCGTACCTAATAGCCAGAACGCACTTCTCTGCCTACTATGCAAGGCCCGATTTGCCTAATAAGCCAAGTTTTCATGAATTAATGATTTTTCGACCACCTAACCTACCTAACCTAACCTAACCTAACTTTTTCGGCTACCTAACCGAACCTAACCTATAAAGATAGGTTAAGTTAGGTTAGGTAGGGTTGGTTAGGTTCTGTCATATATCTATGTTAATTTTAACTCCAATAATTTTTTTTTACCTCATACGTAATGAAATGGGTAGCTTTATCATTTCATAAGAAAAAAATTAGAGAAAATATATTAATTCAGGAAAACTTGGCTTATTAGGCAAATCGGGCCTTGCATAGTTGGCTGAGAAGTGCGTTCTGGCTATTAGGTACGACATATATATATATATATATATATATATATATATATATATATATATATATATATATATATGTCGTACCTAGTAGCCAGAACTCACTTCTCAGCCTACTATTCAAGGCCCGATTTGCCTAATAAGCCAAGTTTTCCTGAATTAATATATTTACTATAATTTTTTTCTTATGAAATGATAAAGCAACCCTTTTCTCTATGTATGAGGTCAATTTTTTTTATTGGAGTTAAAATTAACGTAGATATATGACCGAACCTAACCAACCCTACCTAACCTAACCTAACCTATATTTATAGGTAAGGTTAGGTTAGGTAGCCAAAAAAAGCTAGGTTAGGTTAGGTTAGGTAGGTTAGGTAGACGAAAAAACATTAATTCATGAAAACTTGGCTTATTAGGCAAATCGGGCCTTGAATAGTAGGCTGAGAAGTGCGTTCTGGCTATTAGGTACGACATATATATATATATATATATATATATATATATATATATATATATATATATATATATATATATATATATATTGGAAATTAACTAGCAGAGTTTTACCAGGTTCAAAGAAAATATCATAATTTTATTTATATATCCTGTATATAGAAAATCTTTGCCGAATTAGTTTTTATCGATATTATATTTATAATTAAACAGGTTAATTAACACAACTTAATAAATTAATGAATAAATTAAAATCAATTGATGTGATTAATTCTATCCAGAAGTAATTTAATAATATAGAAAGTAGAGAAATAAACTCCAATACAGACCGTTCATTTTCGAAATTATCAAATAAACATTGTATTGTGAGACATGTATAAAATTCCTTCGAATATTATAGGATTATGGATAATCCCTAAGGGATTACAGAATAATTCTACTCACACTCAATATATAGGATCAAGTGAGGTATTTTCTCGGGTCATCATAGGCTTTCTCTCACAACCAAGCAACACTGGACGCCTCTTGCTTTCACTTTTCTAACGTCTGACCTCAGCGAGGACGTCTCTGTGAATGTTGCCACGCTCTTGATGTTGTTGTTGTTTTAGATTCAGCTACTCGGAACAAAAGTTCCAAAGTAGCAAGGGCTATGGTGAGCCCGTTGTGGACTAACCTGGCACAGGAGCGGGGCTGTAATCGGCACGCGCTTGAGTTAAAGTTGCTTTATTATGCACTCCATGCCCATTAGTGGGTATTTGGTTACATAAAAGTGCCAAGTTGGAAGTTTTCTTCAGTGGGCAGTGGGGGGATTACGTGTTGGGGGGGGGGGGGGGGGTAGAAATAGCCTAAGCTACTCTATCCCTTTGAGATGTATTTTCTTGTCTCGATAACCATACTTGAATTGAACTTGGGGGGAATACAAGGTAGTCAGTACCCATAAAGTGGGCGGTGGTGGGTTACAAGACACCCAGTACTCCATAGAGTGGGCGGTGGTGGGTTACAAGGCACCCAGTACCCCATAGAGTGGGCGGTGGTGGGTTACAAGACACCCAGTACCCCATAGAGTGGGCGGTGGTGGGTTACAAGACACCCAGTACCCCATAGAGTGGGCGGTGGTGGGTTACAAGACACCCGGTACCCCATAGAGTGGGCGGTGGTGGGTTACAAGGTACCCAGTATCCTATAGAGTGGGCGGTGGTGGGTTACAAGACGCCCAGTACCCATAGAGTGGGCGGTGGTGGGTTACAAGACACCCAGTACCCCATAGAGTGGGCGGTGGTGGGTTACAAGGCACCCAGTACCCCATAGAGTGGGCGGTGGTGGGTTACAAGGCACCCAGTGCCCCATAGAGTGGGTGGTGGTGGGCTACAAGGCACCCAGTACCCCATAGAGTGGGCGGTGGTGGGTTACAAGGCATCCAGTAACCATAGAGTGGGCGGTGGTGGGTTACAAGGCACCCAGTACCCCATAGAGTGGGCGGTGGTGGGTTACAAGACACCCAGTACCCCATAGAGTGGGCGGTGGTGGGTTACAAGACACCCGGAACCCCATAGAGTGGGCGGTGGTGGGTTACAAGGTACCCAGTATCCTATAGAGTGGGCGGTGGTGGGTTACAAGACGCCCAGTACCCATAGAGTGGGCGGTGGTGGGTTACAAGACACCCAGTACCCATAGAGTGGGCGGTGATGGGTTACAAGGCACCCAGTAACCCATAGAGTGGGCGGTGATGGGTTACAAGGTATCCAGTACCCCATAGAGTGGGCGGTGGTGGATTACAAGACACCCAGTACCCCATAGAGTGGGCGGTGGTGGGTTACAAGACACCCAGTACCCCATAGAGTGGTCGGTGGTGGGTTACAAGGCACCCAGTACCCTATAGAGAGGGCGGAGTGGGTTACAAGACACCCAGTACTCCATAGAGAGGGCGGTACTTGTTTACTTGGGTCAAACAAGACCCATAAACATTATGGGGTCAAACAAGATGGTCCTTGGATTAAATCTGACATAATCTAATCCAACGATTCTTTAAAGGTCACGTGACCTAAAATGATAAATTGAAGGTGATCTGTGATGTCATACTTCATGGTATGTGTCATACTTCATTTTATGTGACAGTGTCAGACCACGCAGGAAAATTGAAAGAGGAAATTTCCTTAAGTACTTTAGTATATTAATACATCTTCAGAAGGAGTTTTATGTGTCATACTTCATGGTGTCATACTTCATGGTATGTGTCGTACTTCATGGTGTGTCATACTTCATGGTATGTGTCATACTTCATGGTATGTGTCATACTTCATGGTATGTGTTATACTTCATGGTAAGTGTCATACTTCATGGTATGTGTCATACTTCATGGTATGTGTCATACTTCATGGTATGTGTCCATGATCGTCACTGTCAAGACCTGACAGAGTTTGGAGGCCCTATCTTGCATTATCTTACTTTATCTTACCACAGCTTCTCAGAGTATATGTTTATGACAATAATCGAGTAGGATATTGGCTCTACCTTGCCAAGGAAAGTAAAGAGTTGTCCAAAATGGGAGAAAAATGGTCTGGAAAAATATTGTGAGTGAAATACTGCAACGGTCCAACGTAGAGTCAACTCCTCTTGTAATGTACACCAAAGGCAAAGATTAAACAATTATAGAACCACAGTATTAAATTTGCAAATGACCCAAGATTTTGGAAAATTGGGAAGCGAAAACGATACGGCCTAACATAGAATGAACATAAAATAGGGGGGGTAGAAATAGCCTAAGCTACTCTATCCCTTTGAGATGTATTTTTCTTGTCTCAATAAACTTACTTGAACTTGAACATAAAATACATGAACTCTACAAATGGTGAGAGAACTGTTAAATTCTTTTCAATATTAAAAAATTCAAAACCTAACATTCAGAGTATAACAGTTCACATCCTAACTAATTTGTCAACTACGGTATCTCTAGCTGGCCCACTAAATGTTGCTTGTTTCTGTTTTACTTTTACTTTACACATATGGCATATGATTTTGCCATATGTGTTTAACAACTTCTTTTGCTCTGTTAAATCTAAGTTGAAATCATAATGGGTTTGTAACTGTGCACTGTGTTAGATAATGTTCCAGTAGTCTGTCTGGCATTTCTCCAGTGCTGACATTTCCTCTCATCTTCCGGAACCTGTAAACCTATTTCCCATGCACATGGGTATCCAAGTCTGATGCGATGTAAGTGTACTTCTGTTGCTCTACTGTTCCCTTTCATCAAACTAAGTGGTTCGTAGTTGGTTGAATTCTTGTACCAACCCGCAGATCCTGATGTTGCAACTGCTGTGTTGTGGTCACTGTACATCTTTTGCATTGCTCTGTTTCAAATTACTTTCTTAATCTGTGATAGACTCTGTGGTATGTAAATGTCTACATTTCTTCTCTTAGTTGCAAGTTTTGCAGCTTCGTCTGCAATGTCATTTCCTATTATTCCCACATGACTTGGCACCCAGTTGATAAGTACCCGACGGCCTTGTCGTTTGAGTGTTTGCATTAATGATATGACATTTGTGATCAGATAGATGTTATCACATATGTGTTCTAGTTGCAAGGTTTCAATGGCGGTTCTCGAATCTGTATGAATGATAACATGTTGTCGGTGTTCAGCAAGAGCATGTTCCAAAGCCTTTTGAATGGCTAGCAACTCTGTAAAGTCGAACACCCATTTGAGAGTCTCCAACTATTTACAGAGTTTCCTGCTTTAACTGCAGCTCCGGTTTCTTGTCCCTGCTGGTGATCGTCTTCCCATGTATGTCTTTTATCCATGTCGCCAACCACCTCGCCACTTGAGGATATAATCAGGAGCTACACAGAAGAATTTGTCTTTGAGAATGGGCCCAAATAATAAGTAAAAATGAACTTTGGAGAGTTAATTTTTAATCTTCCTGTTTCAGTGAAGAAAAGCATAAGGAACATCGAGAAGATTCGTGCTAGAATCATAAATCTAAAATTTTCTGTCGTTTTCAATTAAATATATATATATATACTGTATATGTATATGTATATATATATATATATATATATATATATATATATATATATATATATATATATATGTCGTACCTAGTAGCCAGAACTCACTTCTCAGCCTACTATTCAAGGCCCGATTTGCCTAATAAGCCAAGTTTTCCTGAATTAATATATTTACTATAACCTTTTTTTCTTATGAAATGATAAAGCAACCCTTTTCTCTATATATGAGGTCAATTTTTTTTTATTGGAGTTAAAATTAACGTAGATATATGACCGAACCTAACCAACTCTACCTAACCTAACCTAACCTATATTTATAGGTAAGGTTAGGTTAGGTAGCCAAAAAAGCTAGGTTAGGTTAGGTTAGGTAGGTTAGGTTGACGAAAAAACATTAATTCATGAAAACTTGGCTTATTAGGCAAATCGGGCCTTGAATAGTAGGCTGAGAAGTGCGTTCTGGCTATTAGGTACGACATATATATATATATATATATATATATATATATATATATATATATATATATATATATATATATATATATATATATGTCGTACCTAGTAGCCAGAACGCACTTCTCAGCCTACTATGCAAGGCCCGATTTGCCTAATGAGCCAAGTTTTCATGAAATAATGTTTTTTCGACTACCTAACCTAACCTAACCTAACTTTTTCTGCTACCTAACCTAACCTATAAAGATAGGATAGGTTAGGTTAGGTAAGGTTGGTTAGGTTCGGTCATATATCTACGTTAATTTTAACTCCAATAAAAAAAAATTGACCTCATACATAATGAAATGGGTAGCTTTATCATTTCATAAGAAAAAAATTAGAGAAAATATATTATTTCAGGAAAACTTGGCTTATTAGGCAAATCGGGCCTTGAATAGTAGGCTGAGAAGTGCGTTCTGGCTACTAGGTACGACATATATATATATATATATATATATATATATATATATATATATATATATATATATATATATATATATATATATATATATATATATATATATATATATATATATATATATATATATATATATATATATATATATATATATATATATATGTCGTACCTAGTAGCCAGAACGCACTTCTGAGCCTACTATGCAAGGCCCGATTTGCCTAATAAGCCAAGTTTTCATGAATTATTATATTTTCTCTAACCTTTTTCTTATGAAATGATAAAGCTACCCATTTCATTATATATGAGGTCAGATTTTTTGTTATTGGAATTAATATTAACGTAGATATATGACCGAACCTAACCAACCCTACCTAACCTAACCTAACCTATCTCTATAGGTTAGGTTCGGTTAGGTAGCCGAAAAAGTTAGGTTAGGTTAGGTTATAGGTTAGGTAGTCGAGAAAATAATTATTTCATGAAAACTAGGCTTATTAGGCAAATCGGGCCTTACATAGTAGGCTGAGAAGTGCATTCTGGCTACTAGGTACGACATATATATATATATATATATATATATATATATATATATATATATATATATATATATATATATATATATATATTATCATAGAGAATTAGAGAATATATTTATTTAACAGGTATTTGCTTATCGCGAAATTTAAGACACATAAATGTTTTTTTATTATTGCTTTATATATAACTTTAAAATACAGAATCAATCACATTAAAAACGAAAGAGATGATTGGTTAATGTATTATCATAAAGCGTTATGAAAGTTACGTGACAATAACTTGTAAAGGTAAGTAAGTGTTTCTTTCAAGATGCCCAAAATCATCTAACCAATTTTATCGTTCGTTTATCCAGTCTGCTCCCATTTGTGAATGAATTTCCCATTTTCTCTCGCTACTACACTACTCATTGGTGAAGGTGGATGCGTGTCATCAACCTTTTGTCCTAATCTATGGAATTCTATTTACTTGAACGATACACAAGTCTTTCATCTAATTAGGACTTATCTTTGTATAACGTATATGTTACATTATAAAGTTTTGCAATTGTTGATTAGCGTATATTATAAAATTAGCTATATAAAACATGAATGATTGTTACTGGAGGTAAAGTCAAAGCCATTGCATAACGATTGAAGAGAGTTGTGGTGTGTTGGTAGGGTTGGTAGACTGGAGGTTGTGGCGAGTGGAGAGGCTCGGGTGGGTTGGTAAGTCTGTCAGTGAGTGATGGAGCAAGATGGCCGTCTCGCCTGGCCAAGTCAGGCTAGAGCAGAGATTAAGGGTTAAAATAGGTATGTAAAAAGCACGTGGCAATGCAAGCCGTCATATTTTAGCCTAATCTAACGTTTGATAAAATTTGATAGTTAAACGTTGAAAAGCAACTTAGATTTCGAGAAAAAATCAGCTTGGTTGAAGTTTGTTTTGGATGTGATGGTCTGTTTACTGTCAGTGAATGAATCGGGATGACGTAAATAATGGCATTCTTGTGGCTTATTTCCCGCATTAATGCAGCCAGAGTGCTTTTTACTGGAGTGTGACACATGACTAGGACACAAAGGTGTGGAGATTTTTTGGGTATATTTCCCGGAGGTGGAGTTGAGAGGAAACAAGGTGTGACCTAGAAATGTCGGGCTAAACCACCTGTTGCATTGTTTGTGGCAAGGCGACCACATGGGCCATTTCCTTGACAATAGAATAGTCAGGAATATTTCAAAGATAGTAAAATTACTATTTGCAAATTTGTGATCATATCAAACTGTATTGTTGTCTTAAATGTGGGTAATGAAGTTTTGTCACTTACTTTGACTGAAGTTTCTATTATTCTCATGGAACTTTGGATTTGCCTCAAACATTGTAGAATGGCCACCACAACTGTACTTGTATGTACATATATATTCTCATCCACCTTTGTCACAGTTTTTTTTTGGACTGAGAATTAAATGAAAATGGTGGTTCTGCAGTCTTTTGGAAAGCAGGCCATTATGGAAAATGCACAACAATTTCCCAGAGTATTTCTAGAATCATCTAATAATGAACCATTACTTTTAATATAAAGATTGTGGATAGCCTATGTGGAATACAGGTTCATGCATACAGTATAAGTTACCTGAGTTTACCCGAGAAATGTTAACACTAGTGGCCTCGACAAGAACACGAAGTTGGCGGCTTGTCGAAGGTGCCTCCATTTGCCATGGTGATATCTTCCAGCTGTACTTTAAACATGAACACAGTTTTGGCATTTACAGCTTCGGCTGGTAGGCAGTTCCATGGGTTAATAACCCTGTGGGTGAAGAAGCATCTCCTGTTCTCGGTCCTACATTGTGGCTTGTTGAGCTTGAAACCTTTGCTCCTTGTTTTTGGTATCTTCTGAAAACAAAATCCAGATCAGCATCCTCCAAATTATTTGGTATTTTAAAAGTAAGATCTGGCCTATCATGCCTGGTATGCAGTGTTTTTAGCCCTGTGACCCTCAACCATTCCTGATACGTGAGTTGACTTAGCTCTGGAGTGATTTTTGTTGCCCGTTGTTGTGCTTTATCCAAAGCAGCTATGTATATCCTTCTGAAAATGAGGTTTCCATGCTTGGAAACAGTAATCTAAATGCACCAGAGAGATACAATTGAATCATTACCTTCTTTTCCTTGAAGTCAATGGTATGCTTGATTATTTCAAGTGTTTGATTAACTTTTTTGACTGCTACCCCTACCTGCTGTGCAACTTTCATTGAGTGGTGTATTTTGACTCCTAAATCCTTTTCTTCATTAATTAGTAAGACAATTTTTTTTGTAGGAGTGCTGTGATGTCATATTCTGCTATGGTACCCCCCATTGTCTTGACGTATTCATATATGAAAGTGTATGTTTGCATATATGTTTGACATATTCAAATTTTATGAAAATCTGACAAGAATTGAAAAGTACACTTTTTGTGACGATTTGGCATGGAATGACCCTATACTGTATACAGTATTATATACCTCTACAATTATATAAAAAAAGTGTGACATTTTGTATAATTCACCAAGGTGTGCAGAATTTTTAAATGACCGTTGGAGATAAAGTGATTAGAACCACTTAGTTAGCAGTGAACAAGAAATCACTATTATTGTTGAGATACTTTTATATAGATGCATCATAATTTTTTGAGGTGATAGGTGAGGTCTGCCTGCACCCTTGACTGTTATGACCTGTGCTGCTATCTAGTGTGGATGGTGCAGCAGCTATTTTCCAAACATTGATCAAAAAAATTATAATTGGTTTTCCTTGCTATTCCAGTGATCCAGAGGTGTTAAGGTTACTGATCGGTTCTTTGGTGTCATAGCGAGTGGTTAATCGGTAGCGGATTGAGTTAAATTTTTTAGACTCTTCTAGTTCTGCCTACTGTATATGGTAAAATCATTTGAAAAGTTACTTGCCATGGTGTGGCTGATAGGTCAACTAGAGCCCAGTGTGTGTACAAAGTTCTTCATGGATTATGAGGTCTTGGCTTGGGGAGCAACTGAGGGGAAAAGGGGCCCTAGATCAGAGAAAATAGGTAATTTTAAGTAATACTGTACTTTTCATTATAGATTGTGCTGAATTTTATTTTCAGGCGAAGCCAAAAATCTTGTTCTCCGTAACCATGGAAATTCAGGTCAGCGGGATGTTTACTGTGCCATTTCCCTTGACCAAGAAGAAATTTTCAGATCAGCAACAGCAGAAAAGACATTAGAGTGAGTTAAATTGGTAATTTTTAATATTCAGAAGATATTGTGATGATCTTAACTATTTACCTCCATCTATAATTAAATATATTATCCACTAGTTGCCCACAAAAAACATTTAGTATAATTTTTATTGAAAGTTTTAGAAAGCTATACAATAAAAATTTGTATATAGTGATGTCATATTGATGATCTAGGGCATTCATAAAGTCATGCTCAGAAGCATCCTAAAGTGCATTTATATATCCGATGTGACACTTTTTTACAACTACTGTACTGTATTTCTCAAGAGTTATTGTGTTTTGTAGATCAAATATATTTTCTAATATTGGAAGTTGCAGATGAATTAGTTCAGTGCTCATTTGTTTCTTTCTGATTTATTGCAATATGTCCCATATAAGATACATTATTTTGAATGTATGGTTTTACTCCACTGAGTTGGGAGTGTTATACTGCTAAATATTTTTTTCTTAAAGAATCTGGTTGCCTTTTAGCACACATGTCTGTAATATTATTCCCTATACAATTTATGCAATAATAGCAATAATAATAATGTGACAGTACGGTATTGTTTATATAAATTTTGGAGTTTTATAATAGGTTCGGTGACTGTACAGGTGTATTATATTTTTGCAGCCTTTCAGCCTTCTTTGGTGAAGAATTCCAGTTTGACATTCCACGAGAATTTCGGTTCCTCTCATTTTATCTGTATGACCGTGATCGCCCAATGAAGACTGACCGAATTATGGGAAAAGTGTCTATTAAGAAGGATGACTTGCACAAATATCATGGAAAAGACCAGTGGTTTCCCATCACGCCAGTGGATGCAGATTCTGAAGTCCAGGTACATTGATGGGTTTGTTGTGCCTCCTCACCTGTTTTCCCTGTCTGCTGGATATTGTACTTCATGAAATGTAGTTATATCATTTTCTTGAATATTTTGATATACAGTGTGTCCTCACTTGAACGAACTATATGGGGCAAAGCCGATTCATTCCAGTGCGGAATTCGTTCCATCCTTCCGGCCCCAACAAGCCTCTTAAATTTTTTTTTAAATTCAAATGCCAAGACACATTTGCATTAGAAAAAATTGCACTGGACTCACGAAGTGAGTCCTTGCTAGTGCCGGGTGCTGGTCCTGTAGGCCTACTATGAAACCGTACCAGAAACTTCTGAATGTTTGTTTGTTTCATTGTTCGCAGCTTCATTATAATATCTTTCATGCCTTTTAGGTGTATATAATAATCTGCCAGCTCTTTATTATCAGTCACTTCTCTGACACTATCCCCTACCACTGACACCATCCCCACCACCAGACTTCGCTTGACACCATCCCCCATCACTGACATCACCAGACTTCTCTGACACCATCCCCCATTACTGACATCACCATACTTCTCTGACACCATCCCCCACTACTGACACCACCAGACTTCTCTGATACCAATGCCCACCACTGACACCACCAGACTTCTGACACCATCCCCCCACCCACTGACACCATCCCCTACCACCAGACTTCTCTTGACACAACCCCCCCCCACCAAAGACACCCCCATTTATTATGAATTCTTCATTTTGACTACATAATATAATAAAGCAATGTGTTACAAGCAACTGAAATGGTAAAATTTTCTTGGCTAATTTATTGAAAAATGCAGACAGTGAGTGAAACATGGAGGTGGAGGCAGCCGGCACCAGACATGTGTTGCCAATTACTGTAGCTGAGATCTCGCCACCACCGACACCATTTGTCTCCCTTGACAACAGCTTCCACTACTGACACCATTTGCCTCCCCTGACAACAGCTTCCACTACTGACACCACTTGCCTCCCCTGACAACTTCCACCACTGACACCACTTGCCTCCCCTGACAACATCTTCCACCACTGACACCATTTGCCTCCCTTGACAACAGCTTCCACTACTGACACCACTTGCCTCCCCAGACAACATCTTCCACCACTGACACCATTTGCCTCCCTTGACAACAGCTTCCACTACTGACACCACTTGCCTCCCCTGACAACAACTTCAACCATTGACACCACTTGCCTTTCCTGACAACAACTTCCACCACTGACACCACTTGCCTCTCCTGACAACAGCTTCCACCACTGACACCACTTGCCTCCCCTGACAACATCTTCCACCACTGACACCACTTGTCTCCCCTGACATCTTCCACCACTGACACCACTTGCCTCCCCTGACAACAACTTCCACCACTGACACCACTTGCCTCTCCTGACAACAACTTCTACCACTGACACCACTTGCCTCCCCTGACAACATCTTCCACCATTAACACCACTTGCCTTGGCACAATATTATATAGCAATATTAATGTTTTCCTGTAATTCAGTAGCTTATCATAGTGTATATTTCATAGGGTATAATAAATGAGATGTAACCCTATGGTCTCAATCTCTTGTTTCAGGGCAAGGTTCATGTTGAAATTCGGTTACTTTTGGTGAGACAGATGAATGATGGGTACCCACAGCACATGGTTGAAGTCAAGTAAGTTTATTGGAAGTGTTGGCTCTAATTATTTCCAACTTTCATTTCATAATCTGCGGGTATAACTGTAATTATTCAGCATTATTCTTCATAGTATTCTGTTATTTGCAATTGTCCACTTCTTGATTGATGTAGCATCACAGATTGTTTTAGATTGAGATTTGAGATTGATGAGAGATTGAGACAAAGTTGTCTCAATCCTTTTCATCACATTTATAGTAACATTTCTATCTGCCAAAATATTTTCAGTGACTCCAGTCACCCTTTCCTTTGTATTACAGAGAAATACAAAGAAATGCTCTACTTAAATTGTTCCTGTTGACATTAATTAATAAAAATACTAAATTTATTGCCCTAAACTTTGCCCCTTTTCAGTCCTGAACATTTTGACTTGTTTATTTTCCTGCTATTTAATGCCTGGTGGAGCCTCACTCAAATTAAATTAATTAACTTTGGTTACATCAGAAGAAAAAAAAAGAATTATATTTTGGTTGCAAGATCATTTTGATCAGTTATAATGGAAAATAATGGAAGGCCAGAGTGATGTGTCAAAAAGCAAACAAACTCAACAAAATATATATATTTTTTTATAATATTCTGTTGAAGAGATATTGGTATCAAAATATGCACAAAAGTGTTTCTGTATTTCACACCATCCATAAAATTATATTTTAGGGGTATAAAATAGTGAAGTTCATTTGCTGCAGTATGTTTTCAGTATGAGTCGATCCATTCTAGTGGGACTCCATTGTACACTGTAAGTATAGGTTTAAAATAAATGACTTAATATCCCCAATGTCTGGACTGAATGTCTAATGTACATTTAATGTAATTTTTCTCTCAGGATTCAAGAATGCAGTGACTTGGCCGTAATCAGTGGTTCATGTGATCCTTTTACAATAGTTACAATGCTATATACAAATAAAAAGCAAGAATCTAAAAGAACAAAAGTCAAGAAGAAAACCATATCACCAAGATTTGACGAAGTATTCATATTCGAGGTCAGTATGCGTTCGCGGCAAAAACGAACGCATTGTTTTCGTTCATTTGATGTTTGTCAGTTTATACTTGTTGAAACATTTTTTATTGACAAAATTCTAAGTACTGTACAGTATACAGTACAGTAATTAAAAAAAAAAAATAAGCTCGGAATCTTGTAATTAAAATTAGGATATACTGTACAGTATTTGAAGAACACCAGTTTATGAATGTGCAAGGCAAATTGAGCTAAATGAATTTAAGAAATGTAAATTTGATTATCCTGCTGTTACTGCATGAAACATCCAGTTATCTAGTTATTTTTGGGTGAGCTTTGGAGGCTTTCCGGCACCCTCCCTCCTGTCGGTGGTTTTTCATTGTTCAAGAACTGGAGTGGTGGGCTGCCGGCTTTCCCTCCCCTCCCTTCCTATAGGGGGGGGGGGGTAATGCTGACGAGCGGAAGTGCTTGTCACATAAAGGGTTGGTTGTTTTTTTCTTTCTAGGGGAGTTATTTTGATCTTCTTGGATATAGATTGCACAAGTTTACCAGACAGTGGCTTGTTTTGATTCGCCTACCTTCAGGGTCCTTCCCGGGTCGATGGCAATTATGATGTAATTTAAATGTAAAGTGCTTATAGGCCATTGGTCCCTGTGCCTCTCTGAGGGGACCAGGTTCTGGCTCGTGGTTCCTGGTAGGCATAAGAACTCCTGTGACTGATGACCCCAAATTAATATAGCACATATCAATTCGGATAGTTTGACTGAGCCGACGGGGCTTACCCAGAAAATGGCGTTTCATTACATTCAGCGCTGGTTTTTTATATTCATTTGTGGTGGTGTAGAAACACATTCCTATTTATAGAATTTTACTTGTGGAAATTCAGTTTCAAATGGCAGAGTTATAAATGTAATCTGTTCGTAAATTGGAGAATGCGTGTATGGGTTGTATACAGTCGTATAATGTGTACAACAAAGTATTTCATTATACTGTATATGCTAGGTGACATAAGAGCATGACGAAAGCAAAAGGATGAGGAAAATAATAGGGATTAGAAAAAAGATGAGTTAGGCATAACAAATTTTAACTGAATTTCATTTCTCTGTTCTTTCTATGACAGCAAAACAGCCAAAGAAGTGGGAGTCAGGATCGGGAGAATATGTACAGTTTAGTAGATGAGGATGCTGGCTTCCAAGAAGTTCGTGTTGCTCTATGGCATGATTCTCCAGGGGTGTTTGGTAATGTTTTTCTTGGGGAAGTCAAGATATCCCTCAGTGATATGTTGCCCGGTGATGAACGCAATGCTTGGTGAGTACTGTTTGAAGTTATGGGATTGTTATAAATTATAAATCTTTATTTTTTACTTTATTAATGTTTGTCATTATTTACTGAACTATCACTGTTATTTCCTTAGGTAAGTATTTTCTGTCACTGTCTGGATTTATGAACAGCTACCTTGGATGGCATTCAGGCATGGGCACTCCAGAGCGTCCTTTCAAATATCCATGCAGGCTCATATAAGATGCTGAGGAGACACTGGAGTAAACTGCAATCTAGACCAGGATCTGCTTAGTACTGTATATGTAATGAGATGCTGTAAACAGTAGATACACCAGAAAGTTTAAAGACAGCCAATGTAGTGCCAATATACAAAATGAAGATAGGCAGGAGGCACTATACTAGAGGCCAGGTTGGCCAACATAAGAAATGCTTTTAGAAATCTGAATAAGGAATCATTGAAGACCTTATTTACCACATATATCAGATCCTATCAGGAATATGAGGCACCTACATGGAGTCCTTATCCTATATTCTCTAACATGGTTAACATGTTAGAGAATATAGGGGCAAAAGCTCTGTATTTATGTATATCATGGGCCCAAGAGTAGACCACAAGATGGCTGGACTTGATGACACTGCAGACAACCTGAGAAATGTGAGCCTTCTCGCTTGTTCCAACCATCAACCACTCTGTGAAAGTGATTTTTCTCATACTGTGTATTTCTTCAACACCTTTGTTTAGTTACCTTAAATCTATGACCTCTTCTTGAAGTACCAGGTTTGGGGAATTCTTCTGTATCAATTTTGTTGATTCCTATAATTATTTCATACATAGTGATCGCTTCTTTTTCGCCTCTTCTTTTTCGAAGAAAGAATCACCTCTTTTTCTTCTATTGATTGAGTTTTGGTGGGATAGACTGTATATAGGAACTGCCCTTTATTCCTATGTTATGTTAATAGTACAATATGCAAATTATGCATGAATCCATCATTTCTCAGAGCATTAAACTCTGATAAGATTTATCATTCAGGCTCCTACAGTGTTACGAGATGACCTTTCTTAGTTTTTTAATAGTTCATTAGTTTCATGTTTTTTCTTCAGGTATTTTCTTCAACCAAGAGACTCAGCAGGAAAGCATCAAAGGGGAGACTTGGGAACCCTGAGGCTAAACCTTCATTATACCTCCGATCATGTTTTTTCTAGTCAATCTTATGATTCTCTGCGAAACCTCATCCTTCAAAGCACTGGGGTTGAGGTAAGTGATTAAGAGCATATAAACTTAAGTTAAGAAACCATAAGGTTTACAAAATTAACATGAAATAAACCTTATAATAACTAATGTGATGAAAATTTTAATATTAGTGTTAAAATATACTGTAATACTAAGCAAAGGAGGGAATTATCAGGAGAAAGTGCCAAGCCATTATGACAATATAGCACTTCGAATAGATCAGAAAGATTTGGGAAGGGATGGGGAGAAGGAATGGTGCCCAACCACTTGGACGGTCGGGGATTGAATGCCGACCTGCATGAAGTAAGACCATTGCTCTACCGTCCAGCCCAAGTGGTTGGGAGTTCGAAGCAAAAAGCTAGTAGTCTTTAAAGTCCACAGATTATTTCACTATGTCTTTATATTCTTTAACATGTTTCAGTCAGATTTATAACAGAGGTATCGAGTTTTTATATACTCATTGATGATGTATTCTAGAAGTGTATAGAGGAGTAGGCAAGAAGCATGAGTTGTTAGGTAGTAGGCAAGAGATGTGAAGTGTTAGGTAGTAGGCAAGAGATGCGAGGTGTTAGATATTAGAGATGTTTAATAGAAAAGCTTTATGGTTGTCTTGTGATGTTTGGACAGAATGGTAAATGACATGGTCTCAAGACAAATAAATGACTGGAGTACAGGAGGTTAGAATTAAAAGTGAATAACCAGAATGATGGAAGGGAGCCTGGAAGATTGAAATTAAAATAGGCCAAATCTCGCCCAGATTTAGGATTAAGGTATAAATATACAGTATAGGGCTGTCTGAAGCCTTTTCTGTCATAATTTCCCCTTTAGTGAGTATTCTTAATTAATATGGAACAAGGTGTTAGAATTATTGGAAATAACATACTGATAAGTACAGTATATGAAAAGAAATATCGTTCAAGTTGTATACAATATATAAGTTTGTCAGAAATAAATCATTTGGTTTCATTCGCTTCTGTCGTTTGTTTTAAGCCCATCACATCATCTGTGGCGTGGCTACTTGGGGAAGTGGTACCTCAGAAGCAGGATGTTGTGCAGCCTCTTACTCGTGTATTCCTGCATCATGGTCAAGTGGTACCCTTTGTCTCTGCTTTTGCAAGACATGAAATATCTAAGATCACGTAAGTGGATTTTGTTATTTTATTAAAAATGGATACGGAATTGTTTGTCCTTAGTGTACACCTTACTGTTTTTGTTGTTGCTGAGCATAGGAATATAAGAACTACAAAAAGGTCTATTGCCTCATGTTAGGTGGGTAATACTTGTATTCAACCACTCCCTTTTATGTACTTATCCAACTTATGCATGAGACGTTCCAGTGAGTGCACTTATGTACTGTTATTCAATAACTAGTTCCACAGATCAAAAACCCTATTTCAAAAGCAATGTTTGCCTAATATTTTTAAACAAAACTTATCAAATTTGAATTCAGTGTTGTGTGTTCTAACCTAAGTTTGTTTCTAGCACACATGTAGAATATAACTCTTAAAGTTATCTATAATAACTACTTATGAACATAAATAATACAATTTTGAAAAATTAATGAAGAAATTCTATATATAGATTAGCTGTTCACAAGGATGCCAATAGGACTCAGTCCCGTTGACATCTGGGTATCCTAGAGACAATCATTCATGTAAGTGGCAAAAATAAGTGAAGTGGGAGTGAAATAATGACATAGAATAAGTTTTACATAAAAAATTCATTTTTATTTAGTTTTATGTAAAAAAAAAATATGACTAATTTGGTATTAAATAGCTAGAAAGTCAAATTACAGTACTGTATTTGGAAATCCGGATAGAATCTGGAGAGATATGGTCTGGATTTTTGAGGTTGCAGTGTATTCTAAAACCTCTTTCAAGCAGTAGCTGATAGCAAAGATATTGTACTGCCATATGATACTCTGCTATGCTTAACTATACCTGTATAATGCTAATTTCCCAAGTGGCTTCCACCACCACCACTGCTACCTTTAAAATGGCAGGCAATGGTATCGTTGTATACGTCTCAAGCTTTAGTGAATAGGTGAAGACGAGTTTTCTTCTATGTCAGCTTGGAAGTTCGCTCCCTAATGAGTGCCTTGGAACACTAGGCTGGTCTTCTTTCTCCTAGACATGTCTCTTAATGCTTGCCCTCTCACTTTTTGTTAGGGCATCAGGTTAGATGGAATTTGTCAGGTTCTCCCAGCTGTACAGTTCAGGGGGGTTGAGGGCTGTGGGGGAGCTCTATAGTGTTTGTGATTTTGTAAAGAGGAATAAGGCCCACAGTGAAAAAAGGCCTGCGAATGAATTAATGATTTACAAACAGAATCGTAAATCATTACCTTGTTATAAAATGGTGTTGACGGGATTGAGTACGTAAATAAAAGCATGTAAGTAGGTGGCTAGCAATGGAAGGGAGGGTGGTGTACTCCATTTTGTGGATGGTGTAAAACAATTGGCCACTTGCTTTCACTTGTATAATCCTATTTATGGATGCTTGCAGTAATAAATATTGCATTTCTTCCATATTTAATTGCATTGTTAGGTAGCTTTAATAAGTTTCTTAGGTTAGATTAGGTATGGTTATTATCTCCATTAATCAGTATTTTCATCCCATGGTAAAAAACTCTTTCCCATGCATTAATTATTTTTGTGGATAATGTTGTTTACCCATATAAATCCATATCCACATTATGTAATACCTAATCATGGGTCAAGTGTGTATTTAAATGCAGGTAAACTATAATTAATATGTTTCCCACTTTTGATGGGGTAAGGAGGTATTTGCCCTGATAAAAATGGTGAATAATATAGAAGAAGGTTGTAAGCTTCAAATATTAAAAACATTCAAATTTTCACACTTCCTTTCATTATATAATTTCCAAATACAATATACTGTATTGTATCACATAAGTACTAGCACTTACGTGATACTGACAGCTGGCCAGACAGCTGAGTGGACAGCGCTCAAGATTTGTAGTCCTAAGGTTCCGGGTTCGATCCCCGGTGGAGGCGGAAACAAATGGGCAGAGTTTCTTTCACCCTGATGCTCTGTTTACCTAGCAATAAATAGGTACCTTGGAGTTAGACAGCTGCTACGGGCTGCTTCCTTGGGATGTGTGTAACAAAATGGAGGCCTGGTCAAGGACTGGGCCGTGAGGACACGTAAGCCCCGAAGATAACCTCAAGATAACACTAGTTATCTTGAGGTTATGAAGTGGTGGATTACCAGTAGTCCACTGCTTCATGAGATCAGGCAAACAGTGCTCATCATGAATTATTATATTCTCTGCATACAAATACACTCACTCCCTGCTTTACACCCATCACCTCCACCCAGCCTTTTTCCTTGCCATATCTTCTGTGTTGCTCATACTGTCTTCCTGCCTCCTCACCCACTCGGCATGTCTTCCCGTCATATCGGGTTAAGTGTATTTTTGTGTTTCAGGGATACTAATACAATTTTTCGTGGAAATACGCTTGTTTCAAAGTGTGTCGATGAACTGATGAAACTCGTTGGTCATCACTACCTTCGTTCAACACTCAAGTCAACTCTAGATTTGATCTTTAGGGAAAGAAAACCTTGTGAAATTGACCCCACCAAATTGCAACAGGGAGAGAGTCGTGAAGTAAACCTAATCAATCTTAAGGCGAGTAATTATTTTTTTTTAAATATTTATCTATTGTAGTTTAGAAATTTAATTAAAAGAATACTTTTAGAATATAATTACTCAGTTAAGGTTGTAGGTTTCTATTTATCCTCATTGTTTTTATAAACCTTGTGGTTGTTTGCTGCTCTGTTTGAAAAGTGTGGGTTGTTCAAAAACATTTCATCAAAAATTATCACCCTGTAGTTGCTAGTTTATCTATTTGTTTTTTCTTGAATATATGTTTATGGGTCTACTCACCTTTCACCTGTTTACTAACTGCTCAAACTTCCACTCATGTTTGTTTTGATTACTTTGATATGTGCAGAATTTTTCAGTCCATCACAAGATGTTATTACTCTAGAAATCTGTTACCAATTCTTACTAAAAAGTTCTTATAATTCACAGGAGTATATTAGTCTCATCTTGAAGGCCATCATCAACTCTGCACTCAGCTGTCCGCCAGTTATGTGCCAAATATTCTCAGAACTTAAGGAACTAGCCAACACATATTTCCCAAGTATGTTGAAGGGTTGTTTTACTTTTGTGTTAAATGGTTTGATTATTTCCTACACCATTCAGAATGTATCATAAAATTCCAGATGATACAGATCCATGGGACTGCCCATAATGGGGTCATTTCATTACACTAAATGCTGTCTGTTTTGTAGGTTTTGAAAATCATGGATATGGGAAAACCTTATCTATATATATATGGGAAATAATAGACGTGTAGGTAATAATGTATATAGGCATATGGGAACAGACCATATTGGAAGGTTGTGTTTGTATAAGTCTGTCTGTAGTCTTCTCTACGAGTCAATCCTGTTAAATGGGATTTACTGGGGAAGCAAAGTATCAAATATATAGATAAAATTGTATAGTCAAGCTAGATACCTATGTAAGAGCACCACTTCTCAGTCGTGTTCAGTGGTGCTCAATGGTGGTGAGGAGTGGATGCTCTGATGTCTAAAAGTGCACTTGAGTGTAGCTTGTAAAATACCTCATCTGGCAATCAATAGAAAACAGGGGCCAGATTCACGAAGCAGTTACGCAAGCACTTACGAACCTGTACATCTTTTCTCAATCTTTTGCAGCTTTGTTTACAATTATTAAACAGTTAATGAGCTTCGAAGCACCAGGAGGCTGTTTATAACAATAACAACAGTTGATTGGGAAGTTTTCAAACTTGTAAACTATTTAATAAATGTAACCAAAGCCGTCAAAGATTGAAGAAAGATGTACACGTTCGTAAGTACTTGCGTAACTGCTTCACGAATCTGGCCCCAGATCTATGAGTGTTTTATCCTTTTGGGATTAACCATGGGTTCTTGTTAGACAACAAAATTGTGTTCCCTCCAGCTAGACTCTTCCTGTTGAGGAGGCAAGCCAAGATTTGTGAACCTGCATTGTGTTCATATGGAGCCAGAGATCATGTTGTAAAGTGCCCAGTAAACAAATTACTGTATCAGTTATTCTAACTGACCAACTATTTTATAGCAATTTGTGCAAGTTTTTCATTGTGCTGTAGTTAATTTTTCTACAGTTCTGCTTTTGTATTATATTTGTGGTTAAATTATTTTTGAAACAGCTGCACTATAAATTTTTTTCCATATAGATTATAATAAAGGTATCTTAACTTGTTAAGTGATGTTGATTAGGGCAGCTACTGTAATGAAGTTTCAGAATGTAGCTCTTGATGTAAGCTTATCAAAGTCATCTGAGTAAAATGAAATTCCTTCCTAAATTATTTATGAAATGGCTGCACTATAAAAAGTTTGGATTTTCCATATAAAGAATGATAAAAGAATTCCTAAAATTATAATTTAGTTCTTTACAGTGTGCAGATAAATAGATTCGATATGAGTATTCAATTCAAAGATCATAATACAATTTAATTAGTTCTTTAAATAGTTATTTAAATAGTTCTTTAATTATATTTTCTTTCAACAGATGAGAGAGAAGTCAGGTATTCTGTCATCTCTGGCTTCGTTTTCCTCAGATTCTTTGCACCGGCTATCCTTTATCCAAAATTGTTTGACCTCACCACAGAACAGATAGTAAGTTGCAGATGAGTTTGATATAAACCTTTTCAAAATTTATGAGAGGTACAAATTTACTAACCTTTAAGCTTAAACATAATTATTCAACATAAAGCCTGCTCTTCTCACACAGAGCAAATATAAATTAGCATTCACTTTAAAAGTGGTAGGAGGCATTTTTTGGGGGGGAGAGCCAGACATTGAATATTATGTAGCTAAATAATGTAGCTATTATAAATTATATGTTGTATGTGTTAATGTGGTTACGGAATTGCAAATTACACAGGAGGAAAGGCATCTCTCAACTTGATGGTATAAGTACAGGTACAAGTATACTGTATTTGTATACAACATTAGAAATGTATCTGAAATCTTCAACAGTGCTTCTCCTAGCTTAATCAATTTTCTTTATTTTGAAATATTTCATGCTTTTTTAATTGATTTTAACAACTGTTTTAGGATCCCTCAACACATCGGACACTTACATTGCTAAGTAAAACAGTTCAAAGCGTTGGGAATCTTGTTAGTTCTCGAAATTCTCATCAGAACTTCAGAGAAATATACATGCGAGAGGTCTTCGCACATTGTGTTACGGATAAGCACGTTGAAGGGATGCGAACAGTGAGTTTGTTTACCCAGTATTTTTACTAAGTTGGAGTTTTGTTTATATATCCTAATTATCATTTAAGAACATGCATCATTACTTTGTCATTTGTATACTGTTGTATACCCATCTCAATAAAATCTGTTGTTTTCTAATCTTCTGAAACCATACGGTTACATTAGATCAGATATTACAGTTTGTTTCCATGTTCAGCTGCTTGTGCATCCTATAAATAATGATAAAGTTACTCTCTACGTTGTTTGCTTACTACAGTAAGCAAACATTTAGCATTTAGTACCCTAAAGTTGCTTCTGCCATAGGCATAAAAGTTATGTCTCTATTATTTAATTATCATTAAATGTCTTGCATTAAACATGCAAACTTATTTAATGATTACTGTTTACAAGACTGAATGTGAACATTATAATTTTTATAAATAGCATAATTTTCTCTTTCAGTTCTTGGAAATAATATCATCAATTCCCAATGGAAGCCATAAAGCCTATGATACTCCGGTTATACTTAAAGAGGGGTAAGTTCTATTAACAATCTAGCACAGTATGTATAAGATACATTTTCATTTTCATTTAAGATGTGGAAATCATTCATTGTAACTGGAAGTAGTGTGTGTTTATGTGATTGTGAGTGTGTGGGAGAATATGAGTAATGTGCGAGAGAGGAAATGTGCGAGTGAATGTGTTATAGTATTTGACTGCATAGTCAAGCTGAAGGAGAAGAGTAAGATAAATAACAAGTCCAGAGGGAGATGGGACTTCAGGAAAGATGACTATAAGATGGTGAGAAGATTCCTTCAGTAAGTTCATTTGGAGTACAAGTTGAAGGTAAGGGCAAAAAATTAAATGCAATGTACATAGCAAGTAAATGCACAGAAGCCACAGACCATTAAATACCATCCAGAAAAGAAATAGAAAAGAAAAGCAAGATTAACTTATGGCTTAGCAGACAATGCAAGAGTTGAATGGTGGAAATGAGAAGATCCGATAAATATAGACAACAAAATACCAAGACACAGACGTAGACACTAAGGACTGAAATGTGAAGACCAGAGTCAGAAGAGAAGTGGAGATGTTTGAGAATGGCATAGTGGCTAAAAGCAAAGAACTGCCATGATTACTATACTACACTAAGCTAGCAGACAACAGAAATGTCTTCACAGAAAGTGTCTTTGAAGACCTTGACAGGAGATTTAGGTCAACTTCAAGACTGTGCCAGTGGAGGGACAGCACGAGTGGTAATACAGTAGGAGGGTAGAAATCATTATGAAAAATATTTTTTAGTAACAAAGGAGGAGGCACAGAAATACCTGTTAGAAGTAGATATAAACAAAGTAGTAGGACTGGAGCAAATGTTATCATGAATACTGATAGAGGTTGTAACATTTAACCCTCTGACTAAGGTCTTTAATGTATCAGAGTAAATGAGAAACGTCCAAAACCTTGGTAGGTTGCAAATGTGTTCTCCATATTAAAAAAAAAAGAGAGCCAGGTTTGATATACTGAAATATAGACCTGTGGTGGGTGTATGGGGCATTTCTTTTGTTTAATAGTGATTCAGTTAAACAGTGATGGATAATACAGTGTCCCCTTGGCCCAAATATGCGACATGGCCATTAAAAAAGTTTTCCTCACTATGGGAGATAAGTCCCATAATGCAGCCTGGCAAAGAAGGCACACCTTCCTAGGTTGTGTACAGCGAGAGATATGCCAAGAAGACTATACGTAGCAGTCGTGCTACAGTAATCATGGCTTGGAATACGATGGGCAACATCTACACTGTGACTACACACAAAACTAGATGACCACCACTGAAACTATCTATAACTGCATGTTATGCCATTACTATAAATACTATTTTGGACACTATATCATTTCTGTGTTTAAAATAGACCCAATGTATGTGATAAAGGAGACAGCTGATATGTGTGGAATTGTATACTTATGGAAAATGTATTGTAATTACCAAGTGCTACATATAGGAATTAATGTAGTTTGCATTTGATATTCATGCATTTAAATTAAAATGTTGTTTCTTGAATAACTTAGGGAATTTTGAAGAAATAAACAGATTGTCTGGATTGTCTTAAATTCTGAAAGTATGGTAATTTAGGGGCATAATAACGTGGCTGAAGATATTATGACAAGCCACACATCAGAAGAAGAAGAAACGACGACGTTTCGGTTTGTCCTGGACTGTTATCAAGCTATTATCAAGCGCACACGGCTTGATAATGGTCCAGGACAGACAGAAATGTCGTCATTTCCTCATCTTGTGATGTAAGGTTTGGTCATCATATGGTAGTTTAGCTCATAGCTTCTCAGGCTAAGGTATAAGGCTGTTATAAATGTTTAATATTTGAACAAAAGTATGTAATATCTGTTTCTATTCCAAATGCTGACATAGGAATGAGAAGGTTGGTTAATTATTTTTTAGTTTTCTTAAAACAACATGAATGTTAAGTCGTCATAGCTAATAGATTTATTATTGAAACTGTTGATAAATTTAAATTATTCTTTGTTAATTTCATCTAATGCTTATATTTATTTTTACAGAATAATGACCAAGAGAGCACAAGGAAGAAAAAAGTTTGGAATCAAGAACTTCAAAACTCGCTTCTTCAGACTAACCACCCACAGTCTCTCGTATTCTAAGACAGAAGGTTAGATCCAGAGATAATAGTTTTAATACTTAGTCATACAAAGCCATCACCACCACCAATGATCATCATTACTGTGCCACTTTTAGAGGCAGACTCCATACACGTTTCAAATGTAGATATGATAGAGCCCAGTAGGCTCAAGAATCTGTACGCAAGTTGATTGACAATAGAGAAGCGGGACCAAAGAGCCAGAGCTCAACCCCCGCAAACACAACTAGGTGAGTACATACATAATGGTATGGTGTCATGGTGTCCTGTCTTCCCTGATATATTTATCATATCACATTTTGAAGCTTTTGATGGTTTTGAAATACACCAACCTCACATATTATTCCTTACAATTAATGCTTGAGTATTTGCAAAGGAATATATGTGCACATTTTTTTTAACCTTTGTTTTCATAACTTGGATTTATAACCTCTTGTTCACGATGTTGTAGCTTTAATAAATTCCTCGTTATCAGTTATGTTGATTCCTGTCACAATTTGCATGTGGTGATCGGGCTTGGTTAGTTTTAACTTCAAGCGAAGATATCCATCTTTCACATTGTTATGGTGACATTACTGTCACATAGTGTGGTCTTGGTACTTCTAATATTTGCTTAAAAGGGAAGTTTGAGGGGTTGTGATTTGTTCTTTGCATTATAGTACTCTAGCACAATATTCTCAGTGGTGTCTTGAGCTAGACTCACCACTGTTTCATTTTCCTAGATCCATTCAGGACCACTTTGAAATATCCATCATGAGGAGAATAAAAGTCGTTATTGCCTGGTAGGCAATATAAATCCTGGGTGCACATTCAAGAGATATGCTCAGAAAGGAATATTTTATTACACAAAATCCCCTATTTGTTTTTTGTTACAGTAACATTTGTCATTTACTAGTCTACATTTTGGTATATTCTAGCATAACATGTGATCCTCAAATTGCCTATCTCTGATGCTCAAAATTTGTATTTATCACATATTTTTCCTCACTAGTATTTCACACACATTCATTTGAATTATATAACAATTACTTCATACAATCTTCTGGTTCTATTACTTAGTGTAATTTCTTCTTTTATTTCTTTAGAAATTATAGTTCATTAATTATATAATTTTCAGGTGGAAGTTCCTTGTGTGCCATCCCTGTAGATGAGATTCTGGCTGTGGAAAGAGTGGAGGAGTCCTCATTCAAAATCAAAAATATGTTCCAGTTAGTTCAGCCAAATAGGACACTTTACATTCAGGTAACACAATAGATGGTGCAGGCGATGAGTCACAATAACGTGGCTAAATTATGTTGACCAGACCACACACTAGGAGGTGAAGGGACGACGACTTGAGAATGGTCCAGGAAGGACCGAAACGTTGTCGTCCCTTCACCTTCTAGTGTGTGGTCTGATCAACACAATAGATGGTCATGTAGTTTTATCAAGTACTCGAGTTCAGCTTCATTAGAGGTGTTTTACTGTACCATATGACTGGGCAGACTTAGTAATTTTATGTATTATGGTGACGGGAGTAAAGAGTATGATGTATATTGAATATGGTAATAATAAATTTATAATGCAGACAGAACAGGAATGACTGAGGAAATATTGTGTGTATAGATAATTTGTTTGCTTTTGGAGTTAATGTTGAATGTTATTGCAAAAAAGAAGAAACTATACTGTATTCATGACTATACAAAGTGTAAATGCGAATGGCTGATAATATAAGTGTAGTTACATTGAGGTCATATTTTTTAAATAAAAATTAATTTTATATGTTCCACCAATAGTTGCTATAAGTACAGTATTATTATTTTTAAGGATGGTTTGTTCAATCAGGATATGAATGACATTTTGAATACAAAGTATGGTTCTTAATAGCTGAAATTGTTTTCTCACTGTTCTCTAGGCAATGAATTGTGTGGAAGAGAAGGAGTGGCTGGATCTCCTGACTAAAGTGTGCCAGTACAACAGCCATCGCTTAAAACAGTATCATCCAGGAGCATATATAAATTCCATTTGGCTCTGGTAAGTGATATTGGTCAGTTTCTCACACATTATCATTTCCCTGTTTCCCACTTCCATGGAGTGAGGGGAAAATCAGCCTTGAGGAAAAATAGTGAGCATTATGATGGCTACAGATATTTTAATATCACATGTCCATTAATTGTATCTGATAAGCTGCATAACATAATGTAGAATCAGCAGTACCCCACACCAGCAAATTGTCCATATTAGCACCCCACCACTTCATAAGACCAGGTGTACAGTGCTCATTGTAAGTTGTCATAAACTGTTCTGTTCTGTTCATTCAAAACACTCGTCACAAGTCCGATCTTTCGATTCTCATCTCCCCTAAATCAACAACAACACACTCTTCACAAGCTGCTACTCCCTAACCTTGTTCCATATCACATAATGTGCACTATTCACTCCCAAACCCTTAACATATTTGCCAAATTATTTTCTTGGCTTTCCTCTTCCTCTTACCTCATATTCTCTCAAAAATACTCCTCAGGCTTTTCCATTCACTCTATATGACAAAATCATCCCATACTTTCCTCAATTTTGTTATTTAATGTCTAATGCACTACACATGAGTGAAGTTTCTAGATGTATAGAAACCAGCCTGACCACAGTATGAAACTTGGTTCCACAATATATGGTCCTTCAACTTGTTCTTCCTCATCCTCATAGCAGACATTAAATTCATCTGTGTGCATACTCTTTATTTCATTTCTATATAAAATAGTTTGATTTACATATATTACATAATGTCCCCTTATCACCAGCTGCAAGTCAACAAGTGAACATGCCCCTGGCTGTAGTGCAGTGTCAAATTATCTAGAATGTGACCTGAAAATCTACATAGACAGTGACCGGGAAATGGAACGACTGTGGTCGTTGCTTATGGAGAATATGGCTAGCTTGGAGAAGCTACACAGTATGTATATGACATATTTACTTACTGTTTACTGATGATAAAACCCTAATAGTGCTTATTTATACTTGTGCTCATTTGATTCTCTCTCTCAAGTTTTTAATTTAATTTGATTGGTATTAGAATGTTTCATGATGAGTGTCTGTTGTAGACATTATCTTATTGTGATATTGTCATATTCCAGTACTGTGTATAGTGTGTTATCTATGGCTGTATTAAATATTTAGATTTGAACCATGAGAGATACTCTTAGTTGTTGGATGGTTTCTGTAAACTAGCAGGCAAGCTTTAATAGTGTGTGTTTGTGATTATAAACAGTACTCATGTCTTTAGAAACTGGTTATTTAAGTTTTCATTATTTTCAAAACCATCATAGTCCCCTATCTACGGGAGCTCTGTTGCTATCGCTTTTATCTTGTTTTAATAGTTATTTGCAATCCAAATATGTAGTGTCTTTTTATCATATTACACATCATAGATTGGGAAAGTACACTATCTCCTTAAATAATTTAAATGCATTTTTGGCTACTCTGGTAGGAGGGGAATTCATAAGTTGACCTGTTAGCAGACTTAATCTAAATTGCATCCATAATGTCTAAATAAGGTTATATGTTGGCCCAATTAACAAACCATCACAATGCCTGAGTAAACCCCTAATTTATTACAAAGTGAGCATTAATTCATACCCAACTTTCAAGCTGTGTAATGCACACAGATAAGCAAAGAATGTTGCTTCATTATTCCCTAATTATAGTTATAGGATGAGAGCTGTCTTTGAAAATAGTATTTAAGCAATCAGTAGTTGTAGTGCACATCCATGTAGTGTAGTGCAGTGTAGTGCACATTAGGTGAGTACATCCTACCTTCTACTAGAACTTTTTCAAATCATTTACCACTCTTATTGTGAAAAAATCCTCCAGTTCCTTTTCTATGCCTTCTTTGATGCAGTAGATAACTGTGGCCTCTTGTTCTGTTTGTTATGTGTTAATACTGTACAATATGTGGTGAAGACAATGAGTCATGATAATGTGGCTGAAGATAAATATCCAAACCATACATCAGAAGATGAAGAAATGACGACGTTTTGGTCCATCCTGGACCATTATCAAATCTCGTGTGAGTCACTCACTTGACATGATTATAGTCCGAACTGAGCCAAAACCGTTGGACGGAACCGAACCGAACTGGACGAACCGAAACATTGTCGTTTCTTCATCTTCTGATGTGTGATTTGGTCATCATACAGTATGTGGTAATCACATCCATGGTTTTTTCTTGCATCTACTAATATAAACATATCCAGTGACTCATCTTTCCTTTGTTGTTTTATTTCATGTTTTTGAACTTCTTGTTTGCTGTACAGTATACTGTATTTATTAGGTGCAGTGTCCACACCACAGCTTCATAATGCATAATTTTGGACATTTCATTTGTTATTCAAAATTGAATGAGCGCAGTTCTAGAAAATGCGAGAAGGTAGGCTGTCTTGGCACAAAATGTAGACACACAAATATGACATGAAAAGGTAAAAAGCAACTGAAAGAACAAGATGTAGTAAAGGCAATGGCACAACAAAAATCTTGCTATACAGTATTAAAAAATAGGAAAATTCTACAATGGAGACAGTAAAGCTGCCAGACAGTTCTAAATTGGCCCATGTTGTACCATTCTGAAAGGAATGAAATAGGAGGCAGCAGTAAACTACGGAACTGTTACTAACATTATGTTCCAAGCATACTACTACAAGGTTGTAGTATGTAGAAAAATGACATGTAGTATGCTCAGCTGCAGCATGAGGCAGAGTTCTAATTCCTAGCTCATGAGGCTGAGATTTGATTGATGCTACATTCCAGTGGCTGACATTTTGTCTTATGAGATCAGCCATGTCATTTCTTGCTTGAGGACTTGTTAGTTTTGAATCCCTCAGCCTTTCATGTGATGAAAGGTGACTTAGCTCTGGGTTAATTTTTGTGGCTGTGTGCTAAATTTTTTTCCAGTGCAATAATGTAGTTTTGTAAGTATGGTCTCCATGCTTGGATACAGTAGTCCAATATAGTCCAGGTGGGAAGTACAAGGAATTATTGGAGCTGACTACAGTTTCTTTTTCTAGGGCTTAAGTTTTTTATATTTATAGTATACACAGTATTCGTTGACCCAGTACTTTACCCTTAACAATTTTCAATGTACTGTATTTTCAGTTCTTGTAATATCTGCCATTCACAAATATTTGTACATTTTATAATCTTATAGATTACCTGAAAATAATATTAAAACATTATTTCTCCAGGTGCATGTGAAAATGCTGTTATTTATGGAACTCCTCGAGAAGTAACTGTTGGAGGCGTAGTTCTGGATAATCCATCAGTGTCGTTAAAATCTCTTAGTTCAGTTATTACCAGTGTTATACAATTGCAACAGGAGCATCGTAACCATCAGCGACGATTACTGCGCACCCTTAGATATGGGTCAAAGTAAGTTTTAAGGTTTAATGGTACTCTTTGTGTGTGTAATTACCTAAGTGTAGTTTCAGGATAAGAGCTACGCTCGTTGTGTCCCGTCTACCCAGCACTCTGTCATATAACACTTTGAAACTACTGACGGTTTTGGCCTCCACCACTTTCTCGCCTAATTTGTTCCAACCGTCTACCACTCTGTTTGCGAAAGTGAACTTTCTTATATTTCTTCAGCATCTTTGTTTAGTAGTTTAAAACTATGACCTCTTGTTCTTGAAGTTCCAGGTCTCTGGAAATCTTCCCTATCAATTTTATCAATTTCTGTTACTATTTTGTACGTAGTGATCATATCACCTTTTTCTTCTGTCTTCTAATTTTGGCATATTTAATGTCACTAACCTCTCCTCGTAGCTCTTGCCCTTCAGTTCTGGGAGCCACTTAGTAACAAGTCTTTGCACGATCATAGAAACTAAGTAAATTTGATACACAGGATCTTCTAGATCGAAAACCATACTGTCTGTCTAATGTTATATCATTTCTCTATAGGTGTTCTACCCAATTAGTTTTTATTATTTTCTCCAATATTTTGACTATTACACTTGTCAACGATACGGGTCTATAATTGAGGGGGGTCTCCCCTGCTGCCACTTTTATAGATTGGAATTATGTTAGCCTTTTTCCATGGATCTGCTACAACTCCTGTACATAGGGATGTCTGAAAAATCAGCTGAAGTGGAATGCTGAGCTCAGGTGCACATTCTCTCAGAACCCATGGTGAAACTCCATCTGGGCCAACTGCTTTGTTTCTACTTAACACTTCATCTCTAGACACCTCTATGTGCTCTATGTTGTTCTCTGGAATTCTTATTGTGTCTGGTTTTCTGAAGATTTAATTTTGTACAAACACACTTTGGAACTTTTCATTTAATGTTTCACCCATTTCCTTATCATTTTCCGTGAATCTGTTAACCATTTTCAACCTATGGATATTATCCTTTGCCTGCAATTTGTTGTTTATGAATTTGTAGAATAGGCCTGGTTCATTTTACATTTTTCCGCTATCCCTTTTACAAAATTTCTTTCTACCTCTCTCCTTACTGTTGTGTAGTTGTTTCTCGCAACTTTGTATCGCTGGTATGTTTGAGGGTTTGGCCTCTTCCTATATTGATTCCATTTTTGTGTCTTTGGGTCTGGCCCTCTCACAATTTCTGTTGAACCAATCCTGTTTTCTGGTCTTGCATCTCTGTTTAGATATGAATGTTTGTGTGCCTTCATCATATATTTTGCAAAATTTTGGCATACATCTCATTTACTTTCCTGCCTAGCAACAAGTCTGTCCAATTTCACTCGTTAAAAAATTTCCGAAGTATGTATAAGTGTGTGTGTGCGTATATGTATATATATATATATATGTATATTTTGGTAGCAGTCTTTCCTGTAGACATATATTATTAAATGGGGCCGAGAAGTGCGTTCTGGCTACTAGGTACGACATATATATATATATATATATATATATATATATATATATATATATATATATATATATATATATATCTATCTATCTATCTATCTATCTATCTATCTATCTATCTATCTATCGGAAGGGAGTACCACCTCTAGCTGGAAGAAGGGGGACCCATAGCCTCGGAGGAAACCACGCATAACGCATTAGAGGGAATGTTTAGATCCCCTCCAATACTAGGTACGACATATATATATATATATATATATATATATATATATATATATATATATATATATATATATATATATATATATATATATATATATATATATATATATATATATATATATATATATATATATATATATATATATATATATATATATATATATATATATATATATATATATATATATATATATATATATATATATATATATATATATATATATATATATATATATATATATATATATATATATATTATTTATTTATTTCATATCTATATATATATATATACAGTAATAATTTATTTAATCATAATTATATGTTGGGGGACAGGCAGCCAGTGTGCATATATATGTTAGGCTTATATCGAGGTTTCCCCAGGTTCGAATTACTGCCCCTCCACAGGATGCAACCCCACAACAAGCTGACTAATCCCTGGGTACCTATTTACTACTAGATGGACAGAGACATTACGTGATAGAAAATGCACTCGTCCATTTCTGTCCCTACTAGAATTGGAACCCAGAATTCCTGATAGCAAGTTAAGGATGAACTCGACTGTGCTACAAGCTCTTGGCTATGGCTCTTGTATTATTAGTTTTAAGATAATTTTTATTTGCTTCTAAATAATATACCGTATTAATTTTGTTATAGGCAAGCTCCAATTGGTGATGACAACTACCTACTCCTTGCATCCAGTATTGCAAAATTTGACTCTAACACAAGTGGGAATGAGTTGAGTGTTCCAGTTCGGAAAACATCGAGTAGCCCTTGCTGACTTCGTATGGCGAGAATTTGTACAATGTTTTGACTGTTGATGCTAGATGATTGGCTCGCTGTAAATGTGCCTTACTCAAAGATGTGAGGTCAAGTTGTTTGTTCATTTCAGCTGTATTTTTCATATTAAAAAGCAAATATAATTATTTGTGAATTGGTCAGTTGAATTTGGGCATCTACATTGCATAATAGGAATGTTGACCACTCCTGTTTGCATGGTTGAAAATGCATTTGCCATCATAATAGAGGTTTTGCCATAAGGTATACTGATATATGCTAATTACCTTACTGGTTAGTCTAAGACTTTGTTGGAAGTCAAAGGTACAATATTTTTGTCTTGCATTTTACAGTACTATTCATTTAGATGAATTTTCCTTATATTTTTGTTGAATGACTTTCATCTTTACTTCATTAGGAGATAAAGTATGAAATTTAGTGAGTGATGCAAGGCTTGAAAAAATGTTTTGGATTCAGATAATACATTATTTGTTCCAGTATATTTGTAATACTCTGTTAAGCTACAAAATAATGAACTGCACTTACTTCATAGAAAAGGAGTATCTTAAAGGCAGACTGCAGTATTTGCCTTCATGAAACATGGAGTCTGCTGAGTAAAGTCAAAAGTGATGAATAAAGCTGAATGGTAATGGACATAAGAGTAGAATTTATGTTAACAAACTATTTGCTCTAAATAGGTTATACTTTGAGGCTATGACCAAGAATTTTTATATTTTAGTGTATAGATTAGCATAAATGTTTGTTATTTAATTTTATAAGTGATTAACTGGTCAAGGTTAACTAGTTAATGAAAAAGAGTTCAGGGTTTGACATTGGTTTGACCAAAGTCATTAGCATATGAATATATAAAATTTTGGGCTTAGCTTTCTAAAGGTTCAGTTTTGAATCTGCAGCAACATGCCCTGAGCCAGTGCTGCATAAACTTTCAGATTTCTTTCTGAAATTAGCTCTCTACGTGTTCAATTTGTTTTTCTTGAAGAGCTAATATTTTCTAAGAAATTAGGATTATATAGGCAAGTTTATGATGCATGCCAAAGACAAAATTATTCTGATTGAAAGGAACAAGGATTTTGTGATTTTTGTATTGTTATATGCATTAGTGTACTTAATTCCAGAGTAAGTAACAGATTCACTTTATTCAGGATTCACATGATTCCTTATATTCATGACTTTCTATGTTGTTAACTTCACCATATTTCTAAATTGTGTCACTCATCCAGTTTATTTATATTAGAAATAGCATAAATCCATTTATTATTTATACAATATGAATAGAAGGTAGTGAGAGAGTGACATTTTGGCTGGATTAGCAAACAGTTTGTTCCACAGTGTGTCTGGAGACAAAGGTCCCTGTGCTGCTTGCCGATATAAACCAAAACATTCTGCGGCAGTTTATAGAGATGTTATATTACAAAGTAAATTTTGACTAATTTATGTAATTGGAAATTTATTTAACACTTTTTCAGGCTTATCTTTCAAATAATGGTTTGACTAGTGAATACTTAACAAGAATCTGCTTGTTCAATTTATTTTAATATAAAGTTTTGTACATTGCACATATTTTACAAGAATTGCTGTATACATGTCATTAATGATACAGATGTAATGTAGGTCCTTAAATTCATAGCTTTTCAATATACTCTATTGTATACTATTTGAAGTCATGTGTTTAAGAAACTCTTTTAATTCAGTATGACCCTAATGAATAGTGGTCAACTTATTTATTAAAGCAAATTAACATGTCTGATCCAAATTATTCTGCACCTAGTTAAGGTAACTTAAATAAACTGCAGCTACCTTCCATAACAAATAGTATTTAGAAATTGAGCTTCAATATAAAGCAGACTGTTACTTGTACAATGTGTAAGGCTTTTTATTATTGAATCAGTTGTGAGCAGACGAGTCCAAACATTTAATAGAAATCAGTTTCTTATATTGGAAACCTTTTCTAGAATAGGTGGGTAGGTAGAGAGAGTGTATTTTTATGTTGGTTCTTTGGCAAATTAACTATTCTTCATCATTTATTGGTTTATCTGACAATATGTACATGTATATATTCCTTTTGTTAACACCATTTTTATGCATTTATCCATTAATGTCTTGTGGTTTTATATCTGTTCTTGTTTATTTCTGCCTTCCTATTTGCATATGCTGGTTCAGGTAGTGTTTGTTCTTTCCACCAGCTCTTACTTCTTGGCTCCAGGAAGTGGCGACTATAAATGACTTGAGTTCTGTGGCTACCCTTCAAGAGAATTTCCCTTATGTTTAAGATATCAAAGAGGTAGGAAAATAAATAGGAATTTACACATTAAATAACATAATACTGAACTGTATATGATATGTTCCTGTCTCTTTTTACTCCTGGCAACATGTTTGTAGGATTGTTTTTATATTCTTATTGGTTTTTACCTACTAGTAGAAAACACACACACACACACACACACACACACACACACACACACACACACACACACACACAACACACACACACACACACACACACATGTACGTTTCTTTATCATAGGAAACTTTTTATTGATCTTTGTGTGAGTTGACATTCTTGAAATGTTGGTGATATTTCATATTACTATTGAAAGTATAACCTAAATATTTAATTCACCAAATTTCATACTAGCTCTGTATCTGTGAGTAATAACTTTTCATTTTATATTAAGATTGCTTCTTGTAATCCTTCCCATTTTTTTTTTAATTTGTGATTTAATTTCTTTTTTGGTCGGTGTCATTCTCACCAATCATCATTAATAGGATGTATTGTACTGTACTTGCATTCATATTCAATTCTGTTCAAACAATGACAAAGTGAAACTCTTAGTATGAATATGCTAATGATTTTTATATAATTTATAGATTTGACTTTGGCTTTTTGTTCCTATCTTATTAAATAAGCTCTATATTTACCACATGTGGATAGAGATCTTCATAAAACTCATACGGAAAATTTTCCCAGTTCATATATATATATTTTATAATGATTTGTTTTTACCGTGCTTCTGTGCATTCGTATCACACACTTGCAGCTTTGTATACAATTTATTAACTTTTTACATATTTTTTCTCTGTAATACAACAAAATCTCTCTCTATACTGTCCACTTAAGCAAATAACTTTTTCCATGTGTTCATTTACATTGTACTTTATAATATTATCTTCTCAAGGAATTTTGCATTCCACTATTTATAGCATCTTGTAATTTTATGAGTTGTGATGCCCTTCTAATATTTTTTTTTATCATATCACACTAGCATTATACAGCATGCAGAAATCGCATAATAGTCCATCACATGTTCTCAGCCTTCACATTGTCCCTCGAATGTCTTCCTCTTTAAATCTTTTTTATTTTTTATCTCAGTCCTATGCTTTTTCTCTTTTCCCAAGTCACTTCCTTCTCATTTCAAGTGCTACTATGTAAGCCTGCAATGATTGTTTTATTCATATTATTGGTAAACTATCATATAGAATTATTGTGGCAGGTGCTCTGAGCTCTTCAAAGGTGTTGATACTTGGATATTATTAACAGTTTTGATAAAAAATTTACAAAATTCTACAGTTTCATGGAAAGGGAAGTTTGTGGAGGAAATAAAAATGCAAATACAGTACAGTAAATTACATATATTTTTGCTTTATTTCTTTATACAGTATAGTATTTTCAATATATTTTACCTGTATCTTGTTCCCTTCATTTATTTCTATTTATTTACACCAAATAAAATATTTCCTTCAATTCCAGCTAGGTAGCTAATATATTAGTATCTCCATGTCAGTTTCCAGCTGGGACAATAATACATGTAATTTTCCACCTGGATGACTGATCCATTAGTTTTCTCCATACCATTTGCTGGCAGAAGGTTTATGTTAAGAAAATTAAGTTGAGAGTAGACTCTAATATGTAAAGAATTTTTCCCTTTAAGTTTTTATTTTTACAAAAGGTAAGTGATACACTGGTCTAAATTCACTGCTCTTGCCCGAAATGTTGTGTGTATTAGCGGCTTTAGGTCTTGTATGTACTAGTTCTATCTATAAATCCAACATTATGTTTGTAACTCATTTCTATGTATGTACTTTTACCTAAATAAACATTATTTTTTTTTTTAAGTGCATACACAGTAAAGGGGCAAAACAGGAGATGGAATTAGATCAGGTGGGTTGAGGTGAATGAGGAGGAGTTAAAGGAGACAGGGTAATTCATATTATACAATATTTATGAAGTATTAATATAGTTAGAGGAGTAGCCATGTTAAATTTTCCGTCATTTTATTTGATTGTGTTTGTATTTGATGACTGCAGGCTGTAAACTGTCTTAATAATGTTTTTATCTCCCTTACAATTTTTCTTTATGCTATACTGTCTCTATCTAGGTATTTCCTTATTTATACCATACATTTGTTATTCTGTTCTTACACTAGAGCAGGGGTGAGGAACATCCAGCTCGTAAAATCATTTGGTCTGGCCCTGCCAAGGCAACCACAGGCGGGACTCAAAATTTTATAAATCTAGGAGTTTTTTCACAGCAACATAAATTTATATATAGTGAATCATAATAATAACATAAATTCTGAGGTGTAAACAAGAAACACCCATTATTAGATGGACAGGACACATACAACACACAATTTTATGACATAATTTTGAAAATGTGTTCTTTTGGCAGGAATGCCTTTTTTGGGGGAGAGGGAGGGGGGGGGGGGGCAGGCATTCGATGCACACACACACACACACATGCTGTGCTTGTACTCACCTAGATGTGCTTGCAGGGCAGTTGAACTTTGGCTCTTTGGTCCCATCTCTCAACCATCAGTCAGGTTCCTGAGCTTATTGAGCTCTATCTATTTGTGTGTAATTACCTAAGTGTAGTTACAGGATGAGAGCTAGACTCATGGTGACCCGTCATCCCAGTACTGTTGTCATATAACACTTTGAAACTACTGACGATTTTGGCCTCCTCCATCTTCTCTTAACTTGTTCCAATCTTCTACCGCTTTGTTTGCAAAAGAAATTTTTGAAATATTTTGGCACCCATGTTTCCTTGGCTTGAATCTGTGACCTCTTGTTCTTGAGGTTGGCGGTGTCAGGAATTCCTCTTTGTCAATTTAGTATATTCCCGATATTATTTTTCAAGTGGTAATGATATGACCTCTTTTTCTTCTATCATCTAGCTATGGCATATTTAATGCCTCTAACCTCTCCTCATAACTTCTGTTTTGCCGTTCTGGAAGCCATTTTGTAGCATGCCTTTGCATCTTTTCCAGTTTATTCATGTGCTTTTGGAGATATGGGCACCATATAACTGCTGCATATTCTATGTGTAAATACCTAAGTGTAGTTAGAGGATGAGAGACACACTTGTGGTGTATCTTTTGTATCAATCTTTTGTCATACAGCTATGTATAACGCTTTGAAATTACTGATGGTTTTGGCCTCCACTACCTTCAAGTTGGGGGTGTGTGTTTGCATGCATGTATGTTACACAACTTGCATCGAATACCTATCAAAAAAGGCACTCCTGCCAAAAGAACACTTTTAAATTTCAAGTTATCGATGATTTTCATAATTATGCTAGAAAATTTTAAGTAATGTACCCTGATGGCCCTGAGCAGAAAAAAGGTTCTACACTAGAGGATTGGTCTGCCCTTTTCTTTCTTTTCAGTTTGCCCCACAGTCATCTATTCTTAATACAAATCTGCATGAAATATATCAACACTATACTATGCTACAGTAGATTCGAAGATTGCCACTTAACTTTACATTTCTTATTTCTCAAATAAACCTGCTTTCAAAAGGCCATATTATTCTTAATTTTTTAATGCAGGTTTGCAAGCTTTCATTATTTCCTTAATAAATTATAAATAAGCATAGTTGGCTTCTTTTCCATTTGTAAATATCCATTTTTATATCGCAAAATAATTTTACATGCTCATTGTTTGTATATATAGATTGGTTTCATTGCCATACCTCTTCAACTTTAAACTCTTGCACCCATTGTTTGTATATATTGGTCTCATTGCCGTGCGTCTCCAACTTAACACTTCATACTGTTTCGTTTACATTTGTCTTCATGTTTTTCCTGTAATATATGCATAATTTTGCCATAATTGTTAAACAAATAGGTTCCATTAACAAAAGGAAAAATGTTTTTGTCTCAAATGTGTCAATAACAATATGATGCTCTCCTGTCACAAGTACTGTATGTGAAAACTTTCATGTCTTCTTTTCCATTTTTACAACTGGCTCTTTAATTTATTTCATCTTAAAATGTAACAAAATTCCATTTTGACTATATATAGACCACAGAAAAATTTATATTGAATAGTGATGTACTTAAGAGCTACTAGTATATCAGATATATTTTCTTGTAGGTTTTTTTATTGTATATTAAGTGTAAATATGTTTGTGTGTGTAATCAACAATGCCAAAAACTCTTTCCTTGTTCCAGTCAGGTGAATTATGTATATAATAGTGCTGTCATTATCCCCTTAACTATAATTGCATTGTTTGTAGTTCATTCATGGGAACTGTAGATAGTTCCTCATAAAATGACAAATTGCATAATGTGGGTCAAGTGTTACATTATTATATTAATCCATATGTAAATATTGCCATTACTTTAGCAGTATGATATTAGAGTGATATCACTGCCATTCATGGTGAGTATAACAATAATGTTATGTGCCAAGATGAAATACTAAAGACTTATGTACAAAGTCTGAACAAACTCAGCGTCTACTCATATTTCTATCATGGATAGTTTACATAAATTATTCATCTCTTAGTTACAGACAAATGCTTAATTGATTCGTAAATTATAAATAAAGACTACTTATGAATCAGACAAATGTTTACTCTCCCAGTTATAAGGGTGATGATCATAGGATATGTATATTTTATTGTTTATCTTGATTAATGTATAGATTTTCTTTGCTCATTTTCCTAAATTATAGTCTCATTTTGTCATGTGTTAGGCATACCGTGTTGCTAGTAATATTTACCCATATTTTTATACATTTGTTAGTAGTTTTTTGCATTTTCATAAAGTATAAATTTGTTTAACTTTGAATCAAATGACTCTCTAATGTGATATTTGTGTGTGTGTGTAAGACAATTTTTGGTGCATGATCTCAAGGAGTTAATTAATATCTGTTAATTATGATTTTTTTTGTAGATACAGATTATTTTATTGACAGATTAAGATTCAGAGCTCATGTTGAGCTGAATCACATTTTGCAACCAACTGTAGTTGATTAGACTTAATATTTTTCTTTATGCCTGCATGTATTTTGGGGAGTAATATCTCTGGTCCTCGTTTATGTTCTTGGCATAATTTTGTAATACTTTTTTTTTTACCAGTGATATCTAAGTAGTTCTGAAATCCTTATATTTGTACAGTACTTAAGTTTTGTTGATTCTGTATGTCATAAGTATA